TGAACATACTGAAGGACACGATCTAGAACTATACAACAGAGCACAAAGACAGCAACTTCGCTTTTCGCATTCCTTCGCTACGCCATCTGAACATGTGGGAAACCCCATTGGCAAAATCCATAGCGCAACATCGTCAAAGACCTGCAATCCGTGCTATTGAACCCCCAACACTGTCTAGTCCAAAGAAGAGCCCGAGCATACGTTTGATCATTTAGATATCGTCCAAGTCTTCAACTTCAGCACTGCTCTTCTTGCCATCTCCGTTCAACCTATCCATGCGGACATTCTCGTATCTCCGAGACTCATTCGAGCTGCTCATAGCCATGGCTTGACGACCAGCATCTGAGCTCTCAAGGAAAGCGCGCAGCCGCTCCTTACCAACCTCGAGACCCTGCTGTGAGGCGGCGTTGGCCATGCGTGCCATGGGGCCCCATAGGTTAAGTGTGTAGGTAACGTAGGCACCGATACCCATAAGAATGAGGAAGATAAAGTACACCGGGTTGCGTAGAACTGGAATGTGTCAGTATTGAAGAAAATACTAATCGACGGAGCAGGAACAAACGTACCGGTAACTATTTCGTTCCAACCGAGCGCAAGGAGAAGACCATAAAAGTATAGTGGAACTTGAGTGATGCCGCCAATGGCACTACGCTTGGCCTCAACGTATACGCCATCTGCAGTCTTCTTGAATCGAACAAGCAGATCGGCTTGCTTGGCGTCAGACAGAATGGTCATCTCCTCTTCCAGACTCCTGCCCTCTTCATCGTCTACACCACCAATGGGAGTCAAATCGTCCTCGTCTGCTGGAGTCACTGAAGCCGGTGCTTCACCGATCCATCCATCAAGCGGTGGAGGCTTCGAAGTCGATGCAAGCTTGAAGCGAGCAAGGAGTGGGATAACAGTGATTGTGGACTCGCGAGCCTTGGTGTAGATACCCTCAATATCGTCTGTTGGTCTCCATATTCTGGGAACACCGAGGTCGTCGTAGCGGAACTTGTCTTCGAAATTTTCCCTGAGCTTCAATAGGATGTTGCCCTCCATGACTTCCTCATCAAGTTTGGCACGAAGCACAGCCCAAGACTTGCGTCGCAGTCTCCACAGACCGACCTCAACCTCTTCAGGACTAGCATCGAAGCTGGAAGCTCGATCAGTGAACCGCTTCTCTGCACTAGAGACGGTATCGATGAAGATCTTCCAGACCCGGTCCCAGAGGTCCTTCTCAGTAGGAGGTCGATCACCATGCTCAGGCGCACCAGAACCACCCCGGCCGGATCCGAGCTTGTTGAACTCGAGACCAACGGACTCATCCAAACGTGAGCGTACCCAGCGCTCGATTCTGGTGGCTAGGCGCCTCATCTCCTCTTTACGGAGGCGACTAGAGACATCCTCTAGCTCCTTGTTGAAGATCTTCATCTCATTCTCGTAGCTGCTCCAAGTCGCCGCTTCGATAGCCATTGCTTTGGCATCCTCTTCGAATCTGGCAAGAGCCTTCTTCTTTTCAGAGTCGACAATCTGTGCAAAGTCGTATGATCCTCCCTTCTTCTGACCGCTCTTCACTGCTGTGCTAACGGATTCACTGAAGCTTTCCACACCAGACTTGTGGGCTGACGTGAGCTGCTTCTGGAACAGAGCCTTCAATCGTGTGTCGACCTTGGCCTCGAGCTCTGCCTGCTTCCGCTTGTAGACACCCTTGTGGTATCGGCTTGCATTGGTGTCGAAATCCTTAAGGACCTTTGCTCGTGCAGTGTTCATGATGGGTCCAAGGTCAGGGATGATCGAGAATGTCCCTGCCCGAGCAGCATCAGCTTGCTTGTCTTCGAGAGGCATGATCTGTTCATCAAAGGCAACAAGGACTTCTCTAGATATCTCGTCGCACCGGAACTGGGCCAAGAGTTCCTGCTGAGTTGGCAAATCCAAGTCTTTGTTGCTCACGATCTGATCCCAGACACCCTGTGCGTACGCAGGGAAGCCATCGGCAGGGATCCGCCGATGGTATTGAGGAAGGAAGATGGGTGCAGTTGTCTCGTCAATGAGCCCGCTCTTCCTTGGGTCGCTATATCCTTCCTTGAACCGTGTGCTGAGTTTTGTGACTGCTTCTTCAAACTTTTCTGGCTGGAGGATTTTGTGTGGTAGTGCGACAAAGGCGAAGTCAAAGTAGTCCTCTATCCGTGATGCTTCGAGACCGGTGGGTTTCGATATGGTCGCCCACAGCTTGGACAAGTCTTGTATCAGGGTATTTTGTAGGTTGGTGAGGGGTGTGACGCCGATGTGGTCGCGGATGACGAAGAATAAGAGTGATTTTGGACTCGACCTGGTGGGGTTGTCAGTGCAAGGGTACAGTCGAATCCAGTCAATTTATACTCACTGGCCATCCTTGACAAAAAGCTGCAAGTTGACTTCAAAGACAGTCTTGAGCAGGCCCATGTTGGCACCCTGGTACAATCCAACTTGGTGTTCCCAGATGTTGACAATGAGGACTTCACTCGTGGCCAGGGCGAAGAGAGCGCTCTTCCGCTCAAAGTCCTGGTCCTCGCCTCGCTCTCTACCATCTGTTCCCTCGACATCCATGACCAAGATGTTCTCTGCCATGGCCGAGCCGCCGGCCTCACGCTTATTCTTGCTCATCCAAATTCCCTTTGTAGTTTGGCGACGCTCCTGCTCCGACATGACACCAAACTGGGTGCCAAAGAGGTGGTTGAGGAGGGTCGACTTGCCCGTTGACTGCGAGCCAAAGACGGAAATGAGGTGGTAGTTGAAACCGGCGGGGATGACATTTTCGATACTGAGGTATGTCGACAGGTTTCCGCTGGATTGCGAGTAGACATTAGCATTTTGCCCCGCAGCAAGGACGATGCCTCGGGTGCCGTGACATACTTGAACATCTTGTCCTCGTCAATGACCTGGATGCCATGCTCGTAGGCCTGCTTGTCGGCATTGTCGCCCACGCCCGCAAAGTGCGAGTTCATCATGAGAGACGGTGAAGTGTGGTGTTTGACGTTGCTAGGGCGGCTCTGGCCGTTGGCCTGGAGGAGTTGGTCGGCCATGGGTACCTGTTTTTCCAGTCCAGCCGCGGGCTGCACGTGCGTACGGGAAGAATAATGGCGGGTTGTAAGAAGTGAAAGCTGGCCGTTGATGTCACAGGCCGACCGCCTACTGGGGGCAGCCCCAACGCCATTCGCTGTCGCACCCTGGCCCGACCCTCGCTTAGCTCGCCGCGGTGGTTGTTGCTGTACAAATGACGGACTGCTGCATCATGTCCTCACGCCCGTCTACACGCCTTGGGGGACATGCGGGCAACCAGATAGTCTTACACATGCGCGTACGGCCTGTTGACCCGTCGCCCATTGGAGCCAGAGAGAGCGCGGAACGGTCAAGGGGGGCGGTCACGTCGCCAGGATGAGGGCATGATCAGCCTGCTGGTCTTGGCACCGGCGGGACACTAGCTGTGCTCGGTATTACGATCGTATCACGTGCTAAACATCTACATAGTATAAAAAGTACCTACAATGATTAGATGTATCAACTGCTCGGTAGTTTTCTAAAGTAGCTAGATACAGTATTTTGACTTAGAATCAGTATCGTGGCTCAACAAGAGGAAACTAAGAAAGCTTCCACGGCACCAAGACTGAAAAAGAAAACTCCTTCATACGAATTGGTACTACATCGAAATTAATTTGGTTCTAATTCTGAACTGTTATTCAAAATCAAAAGTCTCTATACCCCTTCCCACCACTCACCATACTCCCACTAATCTTACTAATCTCCTCACTATTCTTCACCCAAGCCCTTGTCGCATCCCGCCACACCCCACTCCCAAACTTGCTCCTACACCACTCCAGCACTTTCTCCGCCTCTTCTCTAATCCTCCGCTCAATCCCCTCCTCTTCCTCCTCCCTTATCTGTGCCTGCTTTTCTTTTCGAAAAGCCTCGACAGCATCGATAAGACTTCCAGCATCTTCGTCACCATAAACGAACTTGACAAGTGAACCAGATATCTGCAAGTTGCTGCCGACTTGTTTGGCAACTTCGGGATCTAGTTTCTGGCCTTCATCCTTGTGTTTGGGTTGGTAACCTTCACACGCGTCCGAGACGTCGCTTATCCATGCCCGTGCGTTGTTAAAGTCGCCTTCGGCACGGTGCAGGATGCCATGGAGAAGCATCCCCTCCACAGCCGGCGGGGCTTGCATGTGTCGAACGAGAAAGTGTGCAGATGACAGGTCGTGGTTCAGAATATGTAAGAGAGCTTCGATTGTGGGGTGGACATGCAGGTCTGCAATGGTTGCCGTCAGTTGCGCATCTTGAGGCTTCTTGGGCGCGTGGACAAGGCTAGTGTTTGTTATGAGCCTATGTGATATCGAGTCGAGTAGCTGGGACACATCCGAGTCCGACATGACTCTTATTTCTCTTTTTATCTCGTTCAAAATGTAAAATATACAAAATAAGAACCAAGAGCATTAAGGAGCGAGCGTATTGTATCAATCTTTATCAACTTCGTTGCGAATTTGAGTGACGTGCTTCATGCATGGTAGTGCCTCCATATAAACGCGTAGACGTCATCATGGACCCTAAAACTACTAACAAAATCGCGTTCAAAATATTTGCTTCTCGGGCAATTCATCGTTTGATTGGCTACTGTCATGGTTGATGTAGTAGTAGATTGACGCAAGGAAATTTTCCTTTTGAAGTACAGTGAGCTCTAAAGGTATGCGCCGCTGCATTCCTAGCCAATTACGAGCATACCCTACCTAGTTATACATGAGTCGTAAGGAGGTATTGGAAAAAGAAAAAATAACACCAATGCTTCTTGTAAACGCCTGCAAATTTGCATCAAAACCCCCGCATGGCGCATGAAACCCTACAAATATACACGGTGAACGGGCTGGTGAAGCTATCCGAGATGAGTAGGTAAGAATAGGCTCCGAGGCGAAAAGACTTTAGGTCCGATGTTGGTCTTATTGGTCTTCATCTTCGGGCTTCTCTTATTTCTTGTTTGCAGCATCTCATTGCTGCTTGGCTCGTTGGCCATTTGCCTTGGCGTTCTCGCGCTCCTTTTGGCGCTGTTCCTCAGCTTCGACCATTTCTATGTCCTCAAGTCAGCTTGCTATCTTTTATGCATTGAATGAAAGCCTCGTACCTCTCCACTGGTCCTCACCAGCATATCTCTCGTGGTGGATCCTCTTCTCAATGATGTGCTTGTGCTCGGGGTCGTTGGGGTCGATAATCTTGATGGTCTCCCACCTTCCCTTGCCCTTGGCCGCATCTGCACCCTCAATGGCAAAGCTGCCTAGTAGCGCAGCCAGTGTACCACCCTGAGCGTACATACGCGCCTGCACAAGCTTCTGTGACCCACTCAGGTAAGGGTTGCGGTTGACCATATGCCATGAGCCGGCCATGGAAGCAACCCAGAAGCCGAACAGGAGCGGGTAACGGTTCTCCGTCGCCCAATCTTTCGCACGTTGGAAGGGCGTTTTGTTGGCTTCGAGAAGGTTTTCTCGTTGCTGGTCACGCTCGATCTGACGCTTCTTTTCGGGAGTGTGTTCAATGTCGTATTGTGCGGAAGCCCGGTCGGCGGCGATGACGGCTAAATTGTACGGTTAGACTCTGGAATCTTGTAGTACAAGGATATTGTTGGGTTTGGACATACCAACAAAGGTTCCGGTTGAAGCGATAAGGAAAGCCCGGAATGGCACAGTGAGGGCTCGGAAGGAGTGGTAGCGTCTGCTTGCGCCCACAACAGCCGCAGCGCCTACTGCTGTGCCGATAAGACCGCCGATTGTGCCACCCTTAACTGTAGCACTGCTGTTCGTTAGCACAAAGTTTTTGGCAGGGTTGTGGTCGCGCCTACTTGTAATGCGCTTGTTCCTCTTCCTTGGTGAGAACCTTCATCTTGGGTTATGTGAATATGGCTGGGTAAAAATGATGGGTTGTTGGCGTGTGGATTGATGGATGTAAGGCAGGTGGGAGGGTTTATGAGGGGTTGTTCCACTGTTGAAGAATCGATGACTGTGAGGTGATATGGAAAATAAAACGGCGTCTACGGCGACTTATTAAAACATGATGCGGCAATCAAATCTAGGGCACATACAGCATGGTGACGTCGCCGAGCTTCCGGCACCGCTAGGCCCTGTTGATGAGGTAAGAGCTTTTTCGGCGGACCCTGCCTAGCCCAAGCCCTCCAAAATCTTCTGGCCCGATTACAGACGCCGCACTAAGGTCAGGTCATTGATGCGTGATACCTCAAATGCATGCATACACTGTCTTGCGCAAACGAGACAAGCTGCGGTCTTTGGCTCGAGAAACTGTCCGAGTACATGCCTCTTGCTGTGTATCTTTCTGACCGCAAATGGCAATTGCATCCATTGCCCGGCTTCATTGATATCAGAATCTACCAACGCACGTATTCGGTATCCTGCAGAAATCGACGCAAGAACAGCTGCAAAGTAAGCACCTGCAGCAGGTGTAAGCCATGCTTCCGATATGTCCCATGTCGGCAACGCGTCGCATGTCGTACGTCGCGTGCGGCTCAGAGTTTGCGCCGAAGCGGCATCTCCATACTTGCCGGCACGCCGCTGCTCGCCCTCCGACCATGGTCGGCCATGCGGCTTGACTATTGTCGTTGCTTTCTAGACCATCTATATGTTCGCCATGCCCTACTATCGCCTCCCTTTCATGGGCCTTTTCGTTGCTGTCCAAAACATCTTGTTGTCAAACCGAGAAGCACTTGCCCGAACGCGTCCGAAGATTGCCGAAGTCCGTACAATCTCCATACTTTCCCCGAGCTATTGCGACATTCACCCTTCAACCCGAAAGCTTAGCGAGCATATTGCATTCCTTGACTTGGTAAACAAGTCCTTCATTCCCAACCAACTCTGTTGAAGAGAGTCCCAAGGATGTTCCCGCATCATAAACTTCACATAGCACAGACACTGGATTCGTCGGACAACTCAATGGAAAACATATGTATTCCTTAGTAAACATTACCCACTACCGTATTCCCGCTTAATCAGTCTGCTTATTAAGAAGTATAACTATATACGCACAATCCAGTTCGCTGTTCGTCATATCGCCCCAGACTTCCCTCGCTGATCTGACCAAAGCCGTCACGACCACTGAAAATGTCAGGATAAACAAGAAAAGTCATGTAGGTCAATAAACTATATCCACCAAGCGATGTTGTGTCAGGAGAAAGCAATTCATGCTCACTGTGCTCATCTTAAGCCAATCGATCTGACAATTGTTTCGACATTGATCTTAGCTTTTGGGCATATCCACGAGACCTTCTTCGAGATTGAGAGCGAGGGGTGCACAAGCTGATGATACCCAACGGTACGTATGTGGTCAGCGATATCTAGAGCCCCAGACTTGAAATCTACCGAAAAGAGCCAAAAGTGGGTCGCGACGTCGGGTTGCCGTAGCGTGGGAGCATACCAGCTGGGGGCCCGGGGCGCGTAGTAAGGGCAGGGTTGCAGCAGAGCATCGCAACACGGGAGCCGTACTTGGAACCGCGAAGTGAAACCATATGCTTCCGAATATGGCCACCGACAAGCTCACGATGCTGAGAGCTGCTGTTGGTCAGGATGTACTGGATGAGATAGTTACCGAACTGATCACCCGCAACTGTCTCGAAATTAGTTTCTCTTGCATTGAATGAGCACAAAGGCTGTCACTTACTGTCAATCAAAGGCATCCGTGGACGGTCAGGGCGAGCCTCGCAAACACGATCGAGATAACGGTCTAGAAACTCGCTGCCACCAATCTTGAGGCATTTCTCGATGACCTTGGAGGCATATTGATCCATGCTGTACTCCGTGCTAAAGCGAAGAATGTGCTCAATTGCTCGACTACGATCAGCCGGCGCACCATGCTCGCAAATGTGCTGAATGCACCAGTTTCCAAACTGTCCATGTGCAATCGCATCGATGCTGGCCAATACCTCGTTGATGCAGGGACGCTATAACAGTCAGCATAACTAACACATTACATCCGTCGTGGGCAAATACCTTGTCTTCTTCCAGACAATTCTCGAAGATGTTCTGAACCACAAGACTACCGGTCTCGCCCAACGCGACCTCATGCCACATACCGCGAAGGGCCTCGTTGACGTAGCGCATGATCTGAGGTGGAGAGTCACTCCAACGAAGCTCGAATAGCTTCTGCCAGACATGGCAAGCATAGCGGTGGATTACGGTTTCTGGAATGCGACGGAGAAGCTCATGGACCATGGTTGCCTTGTACTCCTCGGGGACGCAGTCGAAAGCTTTCTGAATAACATGGCAACCGAAAGCATCCATGCTCAGCGCAAGAGTGTTGCCACGGATAGCTTGAGCAATGGCAATTACCTGATCATGTGTACCATGTTCGAAGCAGCGCTGAACGAGGAAATTACCGAACCGGTTGATCATCAAAGCATACGCTTGGGAAATGATCGCTTCGACGATTTCGTACTTCTGTTCTGGAGTGCCCACCTTGAGTTTCTGTTGGAGAAAGATGGAAGCTTGCTGATCGTTGTTGCAGATGATCTTGTCGACGATGTATTTCCAGTTGCAGTTCATGTTGCGGTCCAACAAACGACGGTAGTTCATCGGCTCGACAGGGGGAACGTACTGGGTAGTACCAGTCTCGGGTTGGGCCTGAGTAATCGTCAGTTCAGAATCCGGGTATGGAAACAATCAACGACTAACCTGTGTGTTCCACGGCGAAGATCCCATGTTGTTGGCGAAGTTGAACTCGTTCGCGTCCGCAGATAAGTTGCTGGAAATGGTGCCGATTGGAGTCGGATGACCAATAGGATACATTGGCGGCAGAGCGTATTGATTATATCCAGGATCAAATGCGGAGCTTGGACGAGTAGGCGGGTTGCTCAAGTTGTTGCCCACACCCATGCCCATGCCATTGCTAGAGCCAGTATACATACTATTGGACATACCACTATTCATTACGTTGCTGATGTTGCTTGCCCTGCTGGTGCTACGGAAGCTTTGGTCAAGCGGAAAGTGAGTGGGCTCGTTCAAGTAGCCGGTACGACGATAGCTTGACTGGGAGGACTGTGTTCGGGTCTGTACTTGTCCCTGGGTCGGGTAGGGAGCTCCGAATCCATTGCTGCCCACGTGAGCTGTACGAGCAGACCCATTGCCCCAGCCGTAGGTGCCTTGGGTCGAGGCGTTGAACTTGTTCTGTAGGCTTGCAAGAGTCTGCTCGGTGATGTCGTCTGAGTAACCATAATCAGGCTCCGACGATTGCGTGAGGTGCTCCATGGTTGATCGGGCTACGTTTTGGCTGTGCATCTCCTGGTTTACGCGATTGACTTCGTTGCGAGCTTCCTGTAGCTCAAACTTCAGCTTCTGCAGCTCGACAGCTTCGACAAGGACAACTGAGTTTTCCATCTCCGTGGGTGGCGTGGACGTGAAATCTTCCGTGGCTGGAGTAAGGGAAACAGAGCCACTAGAAGAACTGTACGGATCATGGAGAGGAGAGTGCCTGTTGAAGCGCTGCAACATTGAGTCCACTATGGCTCGATCCTCATCGGCTTCTGTGCTGGACTTCTGCATACATTAGATTGATTAGTACGGAAAGCAAATTTGATGTGCCAAGGGGCGAGTATGAGTATCACGAACCTTGTAACCATCGAGCGGATTGTGCGGTTCCAGAAGCGGTCGATTGCCTAGGGTAGAAGGTCCAAGTGATCGCTTGAAGCCCTGTGTATTGGAAGTCAACGCTGAGCCAAAGACGCGTTGCAAAGCATATGGATAGCCGCCTAGACTCAATTTGCCTACCGCCTGACCCAAAGCCTCGGGTGAAGTGTCGATTCTGAGGTCCCCTGGTACCGGGAACCGAGTGGGGCCCTTGCGAGGTGTAGGCGAACCGTCGGATGCGATGTTGAAGCTCATGGCAGCGGCACTTGAACGTGTGTGCGGGGAATTAGATGGTATAGATCTGGAAAGCTCACGTAGTATGCAGGCTGGACGAGGACAAGACTGCGGTTCCGAAAGGTGGTGGGGATCAAATCTGGGGTAATGGGGCAAATGTGCAGATAAGATGCAGGACAGATGCCTGTCGAGGCTTGGGTGGCGTCGTATATGACCAAGGTAGATACAGAAGCGACTATGAACAGCTCAGATGTACACAGATTAGGTGGCAGAAGGTGCTGCAGCAAGGAGAGAGCTACGGCGGCACAAAAGGAAGGAGGGGAAGGGGGAGGTCACAGCAAAAAGAAGAAGGCGGGGTGGCGGCGAGAGGAGCCTTTAAATCAGTCGCAGTGAGTGCGAAGGCAGGCGCGTCATGGCGGGATTTTCCGCATTCACTTTCACTCCATGCTAAGGCTAAAGCCTTTGCTAGTCTTGCCGTCCAAGTGCCTAGGGGATCGCCAGTAGTGACGGCAAGGATCATTGTTGCATTGAACATACAGTTGTTCTCTGGAGTGGCTAGGTGCAGTAATTGACTTAGAAACAGTGCATTGGTCAAATAAGGAGGAATTAAGAGAGCTTCTTCGGCGCTAACACTGGAAGACTCCCTCCTATAAATGAGAAGTTCGAAAGAAAATTTAATTGACGTGCAAATACAATCTTCACATAGGTCTTGCTTTTGTTTTTTTAGATGGGAAGAGTGAATATAATAACAACAGGTATGTGGCTTCTTTGACGTTAAAACCTGCAAATTAGAAGTTCAAAAGAAAATCTGATTTGAATGCAGAAACGGTCTTCAGAATCTAGGAATTACTTATAGTTCATGCAAGAATAAAGTAAAGACAGCAACAATAAAGATGTGGCTTCTCATGTATATGCTGTCTCGTATTTACATACACACACAGTGCATGGTACCTAATCAGCCTGATACGTGTCAATGTCACTGTCAATGACACTGGCAGGAGTGATTTCCCAGTTGGAATCAAAGAAGCCCATAGCCAGCACACCCTCAATTCCCTTCCATCTTGCACTTTCACCGAAGATTACAAAGTCTGGTTGACCCACGCCTGTCATAAGGGGCAAAATCCGTGCCGCCTGCTGCAGTCCTGCCTCATCAGAACCCCAGAGAACCAATTCCAGTCGTTCACCTTCAAGTGGGCGAAGGAACGCTGCACCACGGGCCTCCTCCCCATACTGGTGCTCCTGACCACGATAATCGCGAATAGTGACTCCAGATTCACCGACATGGACGGGAAAGCTAGATTGGAACGGCGGGAGACTACTGGCGATACCTAGAGTGATGACATTCCCAGAAGAGTCTGGAGGGATAGACTTCGATGCAGATGGGAGAATTTGGGTGTCTGCTTTGAAGTATTGGTGGAGATTGCGGGAAACCTGCAAAGCAATATGAGATGCGGCGGTAGACCCTGAATGACGAATAATAAAGGAGCCTTGTGTACGAAGAATGGCAGTCATGGAACCCAGCTGACGACCATTTCGTTGGAGATGTCCGGTTTCTTTCCCACCTGGACCCAGCGTCCAACCGTCCGCCGATTTGTAGACATTGATTACTGCCTCTCCTGGACTTGGCGTACCTGGGAGTTCCACCCTTTTCTGGTCAATGATTACCGACTCCTTCCAAAGAGCGATATCAAATTCAAGATCTTGCACATTGGAAGTCCTGATAACGTTCCCTCGAACACTGACTCTTCCATATCGTCCTGGATCCTCTAAATGTTTCACTCCGATCCCACCTTTGCTACCCATATCTCCTGGATCTCCAACGAGGAAGCTGAACTGCTTCAGTTTTTGTGGCATGGCATCCTCACTATTTGTCTGTGTGTAATAGAAGCTGACTAATTGTGGTGTAGTCATGACACCATCCCACCAATGGCTGAAGCCAACGACCTCATTGAAACTCGAGTTAGCGTTCTCTTGATGGATTTGTTGTGCTAGTAGGCGCGAATTGTACGCCGGTACGTTGTCATCAATGCCGCCATGCTGCTGTTGAATAGGAATACCTCGCACATTCGGCATCAGCAATTCATGGCGATAACTGTTTAGGGATGCGCTTATCGTCTCTTTGCGCCTAGGGTCTGCGCCCTGCCAAAGTTCGTATGGGACATACTTTTGGATACTGGTGTATCCAGAAATCGGGGCCGCAGCCAGCACCTTATCTGGACGATGTGTCAAGGCGAACCAAGTCCCTTGACCGCCATTGGAGTGACCTGAAACTATCCAGCGATCTACATCAACGTCGGGGCCAGTCCAGTTGTTGTTTTGAATCCAGTCTGGAATTGCCGAAATTGCTGCTTCAACATCAGTAAAGCCCCAGTTGTGCCAGTCATCGCCGGACCATGTAGTAACGCCTGTTGGGAACAACACCCATGCGCAGAGGTCTGACACAGGGTCAAGTGCATGATATACCATGGGGTTGTCAGCTTCAACTCCTGCTCCATGAAGCTGCAGAAGAACCGGTAGTTTCGAGCGATTGGATTGGCAAGTCGCGTTCTTGGTAGGAGGCCGAAGCATAGCGTAAGATACCATGCCACCTGAATGGAGAAATGTAATCTTATGAGGTGCATAAAGGTCTACGTGGTTAAGGGGCTGGGAAGCGCGGATTGTCGAAGATTGGGTGCTGCCAACTGTTCTGTATTTTATCTCATAGTCCGTAGTAGACGTATTAGTGGCTGCTGGAAGGATATCGAATGACACAGGCCTCGTTTGACCAGCAACTATGGTCATAGGGAAGGTACGACGATCGTCTGAGGACATGTGGTCCCTCTGGTCAGCGACGTCTGAGTCTACTTTGAAAGGAGTCTGACCAGTCACGTCTCGCTCCGTGAAGGGAATTTGAGAGCTGGCAATCGATTGCTGAATGCTCAAAATCTCAATATCCTCCTGCCCGCTATTCCTCAGGGATACCGACCCGATATTAGAGGCGGGCTTTCCATTTATGAAATCAGACATCAGAATTCCAGTCTTCGCAAGTTCGAGTGATCCAGTCACTTGTCGTATGTCGACCACAACGTCAATTGTGGGCTCTAGAATACCCCCAAAGGCTCTTACGTCGCGGACCAGGCGGATATCAATTCTGTGTGAACCAGGCGTAAGATGTAACACAGGAGGTGCGTGCCGGTAGCTGTAGTAGTCACCCCCGAAATAATGCTTATCGTCGATCCAGTACTCTAGGATAGAGTCCGTGTGCAAGACGACAGGCTGAGTATCATTCCCGCCCACAACAATCTCGCCGCGTACCCAGGCCTGGTACTGAACGGCAGCCCATCCGTAAACGACTTTTAAAAATTCCCAGTCGACGTTTGAATAGCTGATGCTCAAAGATGCATTAGCCGAGCTGACAGTGCTTAGGGTCTGCTTAGCCTTGGTGATGTTCCACGACGCAGTCCCATTCGCTGGTAGGGCACTAGGGAATTTTGCGGCTGGGTCGTAAGTGAGGTTCCTAAAGCCGCCAGCATACTCTAGTGGATCTGCACCCCACGAAGCCTCTAGGTATACGTTAGTAGGTGGGGGTTGCTCTCAGGCTAGCGTGCTCATTCATGACGTGCCTCTGGTCCCAATTTGAAAAGGTCCAAGAACGTGCCATGCTTCGTCGAAGGACAACATGGAGACGCTGTGTGCTCGAGCAGCTAGCGGCTGCTGTAACAGGAGTAGGAATGAAGAAAGCAAAACCGATGACGATAGTCGATTCAACTTCACAAACATAGTCTGACTGCTGGACCCGCTTGATGCATGCGAACTAGACCAGAAAATGATTTTTCTGTTAGTTTTCTTTTCTTTTTAATTGTAATTGATGTCTCTGCGGTAAGGAAGACCAAGTGACGCAGACGTTGGAAGCTCTATCAGCGGAGCTCGACCGACGAATCGTAGTGGTGGTGGTGCAAAGCCAAGCAGTCGCCTGTCTCCCCGCCCCCCTGTCACTTTGCCCCCCAGCCATCAACCGAACCGCTTTTGGACGCGTGTCGATAGGATCACGAACGCTAGCCAGACAATTCTCCGCTAATTACGGACCCATTGCGACGCTTGTTTTCTAACACCGCGTCCTATTCTTGGGACAATCCTCCGTCCAGATCCCCGGTACACGCCCCTCGCTACCGTTGCCAGGCCCCGCGACTTTCGGCGTCTTGTACATGTAACCCGCATTGCACTCCCTATAGTCTGTAACCCCGACGCTTGATTCCCTTTCACCACCCATGGCGTAACGAACTCTTTCACGATAAACCCCCTCATTCCTCTCGACGACGCTTTGCTCCGCAGTCGCCATGTCGCCCCCGTCGGCGCGGGACCCCAGTCCCAATGCTACTTTCAAATTTCCCGCCTTCCAACCCGATCTCATGCCTACACCAGAGGAGGACCATGGCTATGGCCTCAGCTCGTCGCGGTCCCCTAGTCCCAATCCTGCAACTCAAGCCAACGGTAGCGCGATGCCCGCAGATAGGTGGCAACCGCGCAAAGAGGCGAGGTTCGGCGGAGTGAATGCTTCGACGTCGGGCCCCTCGACCAGACACGGGCGCCAAAAGAGCTTGAGCGAAGCCTTCAAGACGATACGCACGCGCAAAGGCAGCGTCAGCCAGAATGCCCACGAGATTGCCGACGCGCTCAAGGCACCGCTCTCACCAAAGCTCATTGTATGCTTTCCAACGCACAAGGTACACATGACGCAACGCTAACTCGAGGCGCAGTTGCTATGTGGCGCCTGGTATATGACGTCCATCTTTACGAACATGTCCTCCAAGGCCATTCTCACCGCGCTGCCCAAACCCATTACCCTCACGACTGTGCAGTTTGCCTTTGTATCTGGCTGGTGTCTGATACTCGGCATGCTGGCCAGGAAGTTTCCGCGCTTGAAACAGACAATGCCCTTTTTGAAATATGGAATCCGCCCGCCCTCAAGGGAGCTCGTCATGGCCACACTGCCCCTGACATGCTTTCAAATTGGTGGACATATACTGAGCGCGGACGCCACGTCGAGAATACCCGTGTCGCTCGTGCACACTATCAAGGGACTTTCGCCGCTCCTGACTGTCATGGCATACAGCATCTTTTTCAAGATCCAGTACTCGCTGCCTACATATCTCTCACTGATACCTCTCACTCTGGGTGTAGTACTAGCATGCTCAGCTGACTTCAACGCCAACTTCATCGGCTTGATCTCCGCTTTCGCCAGCGCGATCCTCTTCGTAGTACAGAACATTGTCTCGAAGCAAATCTTCAACGATGCCGCAGCTGCAGAGAAAGACGGACTCCCACCCAACCGATTCACCAAGCCAGATAAGCTCAATCTACTTTGCTACTCCTCCGGACTTGCGTTCCTCTTTACCCTCCCTCTCTGGCTATGGTCCGAGGGCTTCACGCTCATTTTTGACTTTTTGCACGATGCCTCGATCGAACTTTCAGATCACCCCGACGCTCTTGACCACGGACGACTATTCATCGAGTTTCTCTTCAACGGAACATTCCATTTTGGACAAAACATCGTAGCTTTTGTGCTACTATCCATGGTTTCCCCTGTCACGTACTCCGTCGCGAGTTTGATCAAGCGCGTCTTCGTCATTGTCTTCGCCATTGTCTGGTTCGGAAAACCAATGACCAAAGTACAGGCCTTCGGGTTTGTACTCACCTTCCTCGGCCTATACCTCTACGACCGCACACACGATTCCGCCAGGGCGGACAAGCGCGCAAAAGCGCTCAAGTCCAAGGACCATGGCACGCTTCTCCCACTTGCGACGGATGTCAAGTCGCGAGCAGCATTCACAGCTAGTCCATCGGCCATGTCGGGAACGGGAATGTATCCCATGGCAGGCATTTCCCAGTCGAGAGATGAGAAGCGAGATGACAGTCTGGGCGGGGCGGCATATAGACGGACGTCTGAGCAGAGCGCACAGTATCTGCCTCCTGGGACAAAGGCAGAAGAGACATGGCGACCTAATGACATGAATGGTAGTAGAAAGAGTATAGGCGTTTCATGAGCATGATGAGCATACCCCAAACCAATAGATATTCTGCATTTTCCTTCCTTTCGGACAAGAATACATCCCGTCGATTAGTGATTGTGACATATATCTCTCTCCAAGTAGCGATTGTGACATGGTATGTTTGTGGAACCCGCAAAAAAAGAATCTAACATGAAGTGTCATTGCATAAGACGTCAGATACACATCAGTCAATTCCATTATCATCTCCCGTGTCCAACATAAAAACAGGGCCTTGCGGCAGGCAAAACCAAGTATCGAGATCCCCCCCTTCCCCCAAGACACCTTTAGCCGAACAGAAAGCAAGCAGAGACACAAAGCACATGTAAAAAGCGAGGGACTTCCTGGACGCCAATTGGAGGGCATTTGCGTGACTCGTGTAGCACATTGCATTCATGGTATCGCCCGCCGTGGGAGCGCACCGTCCTTGTCCCGGTCAAAACAACATGCGCCACGCAGAAGCAGCCAGGGCCAGGGCCAGAGACAGTGTCGGCGGAGCATTGCTGTTTGGGCTGGTGGGTTGTTCGTCTAGCAGCATCCCTTCTTCTGCTCTGCGTCGGCCGACTTGCTGATTTCGAGCACCTTGCGGTCGTTGCCCAGGACTGGCCCACTGCCTTCGCCCTGGTCAAGAGCTTTGCTTGAGACGATGCGGTAGATTTCTGGGAGTCAAGTTAATGACAATGCTTCTTGGAGCTACTGGTGGGGGGCGCCTACCTGTGAGAATGTTCTGGAAAGCAAGCTCGACGTTGCTGGCGTCCAAGGCGGACGTCTCAATGAAGGAAAGGTTGTTCTCGCCTATAAATAGTGGTTAGTACAAATGTGAGTGAACAACCAAAAGCCGCATATCAGGTATACGCACTCGCAAACTGCTTAGCCTCCTCAGTTGGCACTGCCCGCAGATGCCTCAAATCGCTCTTGTTACCGACGAGCATAATGACAATATTGGAGTCGGCATGGTCGCGCAGCTCCTTGAGCCACCTGGTGACGTTCTCGTATGTCTGGTGCTTGCTGATGTCGTAGACAAGCAGAGCGCCGACTGCGCCACGGTAGTATGCGGATGTGATGGCGCGGTAACGCTCCTGGCCGGCAGTATCCCAAATCTGGGCCTTGATCGTCTTGGCGTCGACTTGAATGGAACGGGTCGCAAACTCGACACCGATGGTCGACTTTGAGTCGAGGTTGAACTCGTTGCGCGTGAAACGGCTCAAAAGGTTGGATTTACCGACGCCAGAGTCTCCGATGAGCACCACTGCGGGGGTTAGCGGGGCAGTCTAAGGACGATGACGGGGCCTGGAGGTACCCTTGAAGAGGAACTGTGTAGGCGGGCGGTCAGCAGATGCGGTAGACTGTCGACTGCAGGCGGACGGGCACTCACGTCATATTCGTCGTTGGCCATTATGACCGTGGGCGGGGAGGAAGATGGGGTGGGCGGTTGGGCGGTTGGGTGGACAAGGAGAATTTGGTGGTGAGGTGATGGAGGGGACTAGCAAGCAGAGCCAAGAGGACGTCGCAGAAGCAGGACAGGCTAGGCAGGAGAGGCGTGTGTTTTGGGGCCGGTGGTGGTGGACAGGTGCTTGTATCTCGCTGCCTCCTGGAGTTGCTCCACCAAGCACCAGCCAGCGCCCTCCCCAGCGAACGAGCGAGCCCGAGCCCTTGCCTGTCTTAGGTAAGCGAGCCGCTAGTGACATTCCCGACTTTCACCTTCCCCATGCACCTACGTAGTCCTCCTTACCGTGCATGCAACGCAGGGGTACTCGGTTGTGCCTGTCTGGTACTGGCTTTGATTTGCTTGTTTTGTCCACCTCATCGCTCAACGCTCAAAACACCACTTAGATAGTCTCTCACTTTTCCTCTCCGCGTGCCCACTGCTGCTGCACCTTGCACAGGACCGCGTGCTCTATTTAGTGCCGGGCCAATTGCACCCACACAGCGATCACCTGCGTGCCGTTCCAGTTTCAGCATTTCATACTTGCCGCTCCTCACCAATCAGGAACTCGCCCGCCACATGTCTCCACAACCCGACACAGACTTGGACGCCGACGACATTTCCATCACATCGACGGTCGAGGGCGAACCCCCTGACGATGCAGTCTACGCAGTCGAGGAAATTCTGGCCGAGAAGTGGGACATTTGGGACGATGATGATCCTTACCAACCCCCCTTCCGCGGTATTAAGTACCTGACCAAATGGGATGGCTATCCACTTCACGAGTGAGTTGACCATTCCGCCTTGTCAGAAGCTGGCTGACGAGTAGTGAAGATGTAAGTATTCCAAGCCTCCCTGCAAAACAAACTTTTTCAAGATCTTTCGTCATGGTAGCCTGCCATGCAATCTCACCTCCCCACATCCACGAGTTACTAAAGCCTCATAGGCACTTGGGAGCCCATATCCGCCTTTATAATTCCTGATGATGATGGTAACAATCCATCCGACACACCACCATTGCTCCGAGCATGGCATGAATGTAAGAAGTCTATGGGCGAGCCTCACTTCCACAGGTATTGTCAAAAGAACATAGACGACTTCCATGCCGCAATCGAAGCTGCAGAAACGGCCAGGGCGGCCAGAAAAGCAAAGCGCGATAAGAAGCGCCAGAGGCTTGCATTGTCAAAGAAACGGTCGGCACTTTTTGTGTCGGACAGCGAAGCCGAAGATGGGCGTGCCGCATCAAATCAATCGCAGGAGCAGAACTTTCCACAAGCTGCTGTCGGTGCTCACAGCCCATCATCAGCCAAGCAACCTCAAACAGCCCGTAAACTACCTTTGGCGCAGTCGGATCTATCATCATCCGAGGCAGACTTAACAGATGACTCAACGATGGCTGAATTGGGTAGAATTTCGAAAAAGACGACACGCAGTTCAATTGGCACCAAGGGTTCGGCTAGTGATAGTCAATCAAGACGCAATTCATTGCAGTTACCATGCAGCCCGACTAAACGCACTGCGGCACCTGTGAGCAAGGAACCAATCGCAAAAGCAACCCAAACCAACCAGGCAACCAACCAGGAGCTACAGAAACCATCTCAACCTCTAAAAGATGCAGTTCCGCAGAGTAATAAACCAGCTGCAGCGGCGTCTGTGACAGCTAATGAAGCTAATGCTCCTCCTTCAAAATCCAAACAGCAGCAAGCAAACACTACCAGCGCAACACCAATGGCTCGTGCGTCTAATACTTCAATTACTTCTGCAGAAAGACCGGTCAACAAGGCCAAACGTAGTGGTGCCACAAGGGTGGTAAACCAGCCAAAGGTGCAGTTGCGTAGTGAATGGACAAAGGGCCAAAAAGCATTCTCCACTTTACACTTCCGAGCAGTGGCACTAAAGCGGTCGCGTGCTGAAGGCACGCCTGATCCGGCAGCACTCGAGATTGTAAATGACCCGTCTAGTACCGTCAGGCCAAAACCCCCAGTCCCACGTGATGATCCCTATGCTCGCCGTGAGGTTGGCCAGAGCCGTCCAAGGAGCCCAGAGTGCGATGATGCTCAGGGAGGGTCTAGGAGCGAGATTTTGACCGACGAAAATATCCCCCTAGCACCCTGGGAGGTGGACAAGATTCCGCAGGTGTGTCCTGAATGGCGGCTCAGCAACAACTGTACAAAGACTGCTCAAGTCTGTATTTTTCTGCATCGCAACAAGGATCCAGACGGGCGCGATTACCCTGTAGGCCATGCTGGAGGTTTTATACCCCCAAAATACCGCAGGCCACCTCTTACATGCACCCACTGGCTGTACGGAAAGACTGGATGTTTTAAGCCAGCTGACAAGTGTCTCTTTGCCCACCGAAATACCGGCTGGGTACCAAACGAAAATCACGCCAGCGATACCCCTACTCGAATCGACAAGAATATAAAGCCGATATGTGAGCGAAAAGGTGGTACACCGAAATCAGTGAAGCCACTTGATGAGCGAACAAATGGTGCACAGAAGCCAATGGAGCCGCACAACGAGCGACCAGAAATCGCATCGAAACCAGCAAAGCCGCAAAATGAGCGAAAACATGGTTCACTAAAGCCAGTGAAAAGTATGGATAGACTGGCCCCTCAGGATTTGACATGCTGGTACTGGGCCAATGACATTTGTCGAAACACTGCGGAGAAATGCCAGTTCCAACATTATGATACTGGAATTCCTGCTCGTGCTCCGCATAACTACGCTGTATCTTCTTATCGTCCTCTGCCAGACAAGAGCGAGGATGTGGCGCCTACAGACGATGATTTATCTCGTCCCAAGTCGCCCAAGGTTGCGGATCCTGTGGAACTTGGTGCACCCGAAGCAACGTGTGAGAAGGTGCGGAAGAGGATCGACTCAGTGTGCGATCTCGACTTTGAAGAATTATTTGGAAGTAATAATTGTGAAAGAGGAATTAAACTAATAGACCGACGAGCTTTCTTGGTGTACCACTCAGAAGAGCATGCGGAGGAGCTGGAGTTGATTACTCGATGGCTGCTGATGCACCACGTCGAGGTCAGTGGCGTACATTTTTCAGGCGGGTGGGCGAAGTTCCAGCAGGAAATTAAGAGCGGAGGTTCTGGCGTCATCATTGTAGGTTGAATGTGGAGTCAGCATTAGTGCTGTATTGACTTGTACTAGGTACATGCTGATTTCGAGTACTTCACCGAATTACCGGGATTAGGAGATATGCTCCATCATGAGATTCGTGTCTGGTCACTTGGCATGCAGGAAGGCATCGAGTACGATGCTGCTTTGTCACTTGATCCACCCGTATATCGCTATGGTCCGGTGGAAATCTTCCCCGTCGGCGGGTTCATCTACATTACCGACGAGGTATTTGACAAGGAGCCGCAAGTCGCTTTGAAAATTATCGAGCTATTCCTCGCGAAAGTTGAAGAATTGAAGCAGATCAAGGGCCTGCCAAATGCGGGAGGCCAGGTCGAAACCGCAAATCTACTCTGGCGTCTATGTGTCCGCCCAGAACTAATGAAGTATCTATTTGATTACTGCAAGAAGTACGAAGACCGGCTCGACATCGGCGATGCAGAAATGCAGAGGTTTGTTATACTCAATCATTATCTCATGAATGCAAACTAACAGCAACAACAGCCGTGCCCGCCTTTACACTCTCCTATCCGACACACGATACATCGAGCAAGACTACCCCTCTGAGCCCCTCAGCCGCATAATGGGCAAATTCCCCATTCTATCCGAGCGCCGAGTAATTGCAGACAGCGAGCCAGTCGCATACTTCAAAACAGTTAAACGCGACGCGGCGGCAGCCAACCTAAACATGATGCGCTACTATGCGGGCTTGCACGTTGACCTGCGACGCGACTACCGCCATTTTTTCCTGGTGCATACGGATCCACGGGCGGGGGTTGTGCAGCAGTGGCGAGACGAGATGCAGACGATTGGGCGGGTCATGTCTGCGCGGCAGTGTGTGCAGGAGTTGGAAAAGGAGAGTCGAGTGAGCATGATTGATTTTTACGAGCGGTTCATGGGAGAATAAGGGGAGGACGGGTGTGAGGGCGGTTGAGAAGAAAAAACGGGGCATCAATGCAACTGGTTTTCGATTCTTGCTTTTTCTCTCTCTCTCTCTCTTCACTTTTCTTTACTTTTTCGGGGGTTTCATCCAAGTATGGGAAAGCGCATTGCACAAGGGGGTTTGGTAAGGTAATTTAACATTTTTTTTCTCTTTTTTCTTTTTCTTTTCTAGTTTCGTACTTTCTTTGCTAGTGTTCTAAGCTACTGCGTGTGCTGTATGCGACATGGAACTACATGGTTTTTCTATCGATGCAAAGTACATTGGCCTTTTTTGTATATGTGTATGGCTGAAGATATGTATGTATTGCGTGTTTGTGTGTGTGAAAGGTGGTTATAGGCGCTTAGAGAAGAAGAAAAAAAGCAAATGGGTATATGAGTAAAATGAGCTGCTTGATTGCAGTTGGGCCGGGGCCTTGGTATTACGCGCATGATATGCCATTTGATGGTCTTTGTTTGTGTGTTGAGGGGAGCAGTCTCGAGGGGCGGTAGTGACGAACAACGTCTATCGTCGTTCAAGTGATGTTTTAGGGGTTGATTTTTTCCCCTAGTTGAAAGATTTGTCTCGTCGCCACTGTGGCGATAAAACTAGGACTGGGGGCTCCGTTCTGAGACTGCAGGGAGGGAATCCGGTCGGGTCCAGTGGTCGTATTACTGACGAGTGCATGTTTAGATGCGGACTAGACTAGATTTGGACCGAGACTCGTGCGCGGGTTAGGGTTGGAAGGATGCCAAGGACTCGATCGGCAGTCACGTGACATTCAATTTTGCACCTCCATCAACCGTGAGGCCCAAATTTCCGCGGAGACTCAGGGGCTGGCGCGGGTGTCAGCAGACTATCGCGGTGCATATCTCTCATTGCTTCTGCGTAGTCATTCTCGGCGACCCTGTGTCTTTCATCAGGGCCATACATGTCGTCGATGAAGTGATGCTGTTTCTTGCTCCCGGGATGTCCATTGTCTAGCGGCCCTGCAGGCTCATCGACTAGCGCACTAGGTACAATGTCCTCGGGGTCTAGGCCGGCGTTGCAGTCGCGATAGTCTGGTTGGTTTGGAAACATGACCGAGTCTTTGTGCGGTCTGCGAGCGCGTTTGGGCTTGAAGGGGAAATTGCTAGGATGGATATAGTCGCCATCGGGACTGCGAACATTTTGTAGAGCGTTGGCCTCTCTCTCCATCTCTTCCCAGGTAGCGACGAGGTTGTTGCCGTTGCGGCTGCGACTGTCGCTCATGTCTCCAGAGAAGCTGCCTAATCGGCTAATTCGGAAAGCGCGGAGACGGTCCAGGGCGACCTTGAAATCGTCGAGAACAACCGAGTCGGTCAAGCACTTGAAGACAAAGGCGAATTTCCAGAAAGGATTGATACCCGTAGGGCCTGGGAGAGAAAGCGCGCCAGTGACAGACAGGATATCCATTATGATGAAGATGATGCTGAGAACCATGGAGAAAAGCATGATGCCGAAGCGCGGAGAGATGCGTATGATTTCCTTGATGCTGAGCTCATACTGGGTCTTGATGACCCAGAAGAGGTAGACTGTGGTCAAGATCCACCATGGATCGCGGCAGAGAGCCTCGTAGGGCCTTGTGCTGAGAAAGAGCCTGTTGACGCCGTGGAAGTAGGCAAAGTTTGCGTAAATCTCGAGGATCCAGTATGGCTGGGCCAGGATGATGGTGCCGATGAAGATGTAGCTGGTGGGTTTTGAGAAAAAGGGCTTGATCTTCATCCAGGCAATGACATTATGCAGCGACCACGAAGCATTAAGGAAGATGGCGGCGACGGAGAGCCACCAGGCGTGGACAGGGGTGGGGAAGAATAACCAGAAGCCTTGCCATAAGCCGAGAATGAGCTGAGTGGGTAATTGGTCAGTGGGGCGCCTTGTGATAAAATGGAAGGCAGGATCAAGAGAGATGAAGACGACTTACTTCGAGGAGAATTAACTGGAGGTAAGTGTTAGTAAATGGCGGGAAGTATTTGGGGGGCGCAAGTTTGTTAGTGTGGTGGACTGACCTTGTGCAACAAGACGCCTCTGCGCATGTTTGCGAGGGTGATGAAGGCCATGATGATGAGGGAGCCGACGAGGTAGCCCTGGGCCCAGGCCTCGAGGACGAGCTCCTCGCGGTCGGTGGGCTTTGGGACGACGTGATTCTCCTGCCAGCCCATGTCTGGAAGGGGGCTCATGGTGTTGGGGTAAAAATTTCAATCCTGGAGGCGGGAAGCCGAGGCGGAAGCCGAGGAAGAGAGCAGTGATGTCACGCGGCGTAGGGCTTCACAGATGGGGCTCAACACTTTTACCATGGCTGAGGCGGAGAGGGCGAGTCGACAGCGGGCGAGGGTGTCGGGGGGTTATGAGGACGGTCGGGAGCCAGGGAGCACAGGAGCAAACAGGCGCAGGTTGGCCTTGTTGTGGCGCCGCTTCTCCGCATGATTCCATGGACAGTTGGGGAGGATGGACGGCACAGAGGCTCCGGGGCCGAGAGCGCATAGTGGGCTAGTGCTGTGGGCTGGCTGGGCGGGCCTTCGCGTGCAGAGTTTTTGGCCGTGATGTGATCTTACTCGGTGCCGGAGCCAGTGCTGACGGAGGCGAAGGGCGTGTGTGTGTGTGTGTGTGTGTGTGTGTCGATGTGTTGGAGCGAGTCTGTGGACGTGTCGAGTTGCAGCACAGGCACAGACAGGCACAGGGGCGACGGTGCGTCGAGGGGTGCAGGCACAGGTAGCGCATCTACATGGGTGTGGTGGTACCTGTTGTACGTACCTTTTGTAGACTACGCAGGCCTACTAACCTACTCGATACAAAGATAACACACACACACACACATATACATGGCAGCTTGGGGCGCACGGCGGATGGGCGACATGGGTTCGGTGCCAACGGCGGCGGCCTGGCCAGTCTGCTGGGATGCGGGGAGAGGGCAGGATTGGGCCATGGCCGGCATGGGCATTGCTTCCTCAACCTTCATTTTGGGGGGCCTCGTTGCTTGTATAGGGGCCGCCCTTGGTGTTTCTTTTTTCTTTTTGTTTTTTTGTTACCAGGCCAGGCCACACACAAGCACTCGCTCAACGTATCTGCATATGCATAGTCGATTGCCCCTGCGTCGTTTGTCCTGGGCGAGCAGCAGCCCGCGCAGCGTCATCGCTCAGTGCAGGCGTGCCCCGCCACCCACACGCACACACACACATACCCATACGCACTCATGTCGCCGTCCCTCGTCGCCCGCACATTACACGGCCACTGATTGAGCATGTTCAAGAAGAAACCCAATGCAAGTGTCGCCCTGCACTCCTTGTACACACACACATACATACACACACATATTGACAACGCCCAGATCAAGCCCCTCGCCCCGCTCAAGTCGAGCGACCGGCGCAGGACAGCGGACCAGATCATCGCAGACTTTGCCATAGACACGCCCACTGACGATGCCGCCGCTCTCACCGCCCTGCGACGCTCTATACTGCCCGACAATGCCCAGTCTGCCCGCTTCACCACCACGGCCGGCCCAGACCTTAGCACCGTCACGGGCACTCTCTATGTCGGCGCCCACGATGACGGCGACCAACGCGTCCTCTGGCTCAAGCTGCGCGACCGCCTCTACCCCACCGTCTACACGCTCTGGCACAACCCCGCCATCGTTCCTCTGCTGCACACCCCGCTCTTCGTCGTCGACAAGCTCAAGCAGGGCGCCGACTTGATGACGCCCGGCCTCCAGCGCGGCCCTCCCTTCCCCAAGAATGCTACCAAAGGCGCTATTGTTGCCATTGCCAGCCTCGAGGCTCCATCCGTGCCCATGGCCGTGGGCGAGTGCATCGTCGATGTCAGTGCTCTAGGAAGCACTCAAGGTACAAAGGGCCATGCCGTATCCACGATCCATTGGGCAGGTGACGAGTTGTGGTCCTGGAGTGCAGCAGGCAAGCCGGGCCGCGACCCCCCAGACACCATTGACGGCTGGGACAGCGACACATCCCCCGACGCATCCCTCGCGGACCGCACTGCCGCCATCCATCTTGACGGCGACGATGATCAAGACGGCGGCGTCCCACTCGGGACCACCCCCGCCGACCCTTCTCCGCCCGAAACCCTCGACGCTGTCCAGGGCGAAGACGCACCCTCGAACCCTGATTTCATCGACACGCTCGAGGACAAGGAGCTGACGACCAAAGGTACCTTTGCTGCATTCACGCCCCACACCCAACAGCTAACCATGTCCAGAAATCGACGATGCCTTCAAAAACGCCTTTCTGTTCGGAGTGCGCTACCACATGGACCACAACAAACAACACCCGACCTACGGACTTGAATTCCCTCTGTCTCAGTCGCATGTCATGTCGCAACTCGTCCAGCCCTTTCTCCCCACTTACACTCCTGCGCGAACCGCTTCTTTGCAGATCAAAAAGACAAGCTGGAAGAATCTGCGAAAGTTCCTCAAGTACCTCGACAAGCAGCTTATCATCAAGTCCAAGGATCGTGACGGAAACGAGGTTGTTGTTCTCGATATTGATTTCAAAGACCGCCAGTTGGAGTCGTTTGTCCCATACAGATTACCCAAGAAGGACGGCCCGACTGCCACGAGTACAAGCGATAAGGCTGCCCCACCACTATCCGCCGACCCGTCACTCGGCCAGAAACTAAAGCTTGTTTCAGTACTCCGACCCAAGGAGAAATTAGCCCCTATCCTGGCTGCTTCTAAAGCGGACCCCCGAGGTCTTTACACGCCGGCCGAGCTCAAGCAGATCCTATTGGCATATGTCGAGGCTGAGAACCTCATTGATCAAAAGAACAAGCGTCTTGTTCGCATAAATCCCCAGCTAGCAGATGCACTCCTGGGCTCGTCGGCAGCCGACAACGCAGCGCTCTCATCAGGGGCCATGCCTAGAGACGCTCTGGCAGAACGCATGCTTGCGGCCGCCTCTCCCTTCCACGCAATTCTTCGCAACGATGCCAGCATTGCAGACACGAAGCCCAAAGCGGGCGCTCCACCCAAGATTCAAATCATCCTCGAGACACGTAGTGGCAACAAAACAGTCACAAAGGTTCATGGCCTGGAACCTTACTATATCCCCCCTCAGCCTCTAGCCGACGAACTGAGAAAAACGTGTGCAGGCAGCACGAGCATCGACAAGCTGCAAGGTTCCAGTCCAAAAGCTCCCATCATGGAGGTTATGGTCCAAGGCCCGCAAAAGGATGCCATCATCAAGGCGTTGGAGAAGCGAGGTGTTAACAAGAATTGGGTCGACGTGGTAGACAAGACCAAGGGCAAGAAAAAGTAATACTTCCAAAAACGAGCATTAGTAAACGAGCTCCGGCATTAATCCTGCCCCACACGTGGCCGAGCGATCGGACTTTTTTGGTGGATTGCGTTATAATTAATCATTGATTTCCCTTGGACGTTGATGCGAGAGCATGGATGGTCGGGACTTTACTAAACTCCGAGCCGAGGCTTGTGATTAGAAACGTGACAATTCGATTAGGGTGGATGTGCTGCACTCCATCCGACCAACGTCCCTGCACTCGAATCGAAATCCGTGTTTTCTTTGCTGTCATCTTTGTTTCTTGGGTTTTCGTCGGTCAAACCTGGCATGGTAACCATGGTGCAAACGACTGGCGTTGTCGTTGCAGGTGCGTCCATGGCAGCCCTCGTGGCGCAACCGGCATGGAGAGACGGCCTGCTGGTCGCGCTGGCTCGCTGGACAGGCTATAATGCGCCTGGTGGTTTGTGGAGGATAGCTGCGATTCTTCTTGCCGCGGCCAACTTGAAGAACCTGCCCTTTGTCTGGCATGTATGACTACTTTTACTCGATACGAGATGCGAGCCAGCAAACTGATCAGGTACCTAGATACGTGTCTTTCGCGCCATGCTTTACCACATTTACGTCCAGCCTACGCCCATTCCTCCTCATGCCCTGTTTCAACCCATGATCTCCTCGACTCGGACCACCCTCGTCGAAACAGATTACAACTTGCACAAGTCCAACAGTACCTACTTCAGCGACATGGACGTTTCACGTACCCACCTCTTCACCGCGTTGATGCGTAACGCCATCCGAAAACAGAGCCGCCGGTCTGGCGCCAAAGTGGCTGGAGCTATGGGAGCCACAGAGGGTACACCAGGCAGGCATATCATCGCGCTAGGCGGGATAAGTTGTCTATTCAAGAGGGAGATTCCGCCTTATCAAAAGTTTGAAATGTGGACCAGACTACTCTGCTGGGATAGGAAGTGGTTCTACCTCGTCACTCATCTCGTCAAGCCCGGCGTAGCCCAGCCAGAGAGCTGGACACTGCAGCCTTGGAAAAAGTCAAAGAGCCGTTCTGCAAACGTTGATCCGGAAAAGTTGAAAGGCGCAGTTTACGCGACTGCACTTGCCAAGTACGTCATTAAGCGTGGCAGGATCACAGTCCCGCCAGAGCAGGCCCTCGTTGACTCCGAAATGGTCCCATTGAAACCAGAGGGATGGGAATACCACGGTCCCGTGCCCGAGCAAAACGAGCAAAACGAAACTAGCTTACCCAGGGTCGTCCAGCCAGACGAATGGAACTGGGACATCATCGAGTCGGAGCGACTACGCGGGCTGGAAATTGCAAGCAAATTTGCCGCCATGGACGGCCTGCATGATTTCTTCGATGGCGGTAAAGAAGGCGTACTGGGCGAGTATGCAGATCTGCTCTTTTGAGTCAAACAGTCAAGACATTGTGGTGGAGCAATCACTAGATAGGATAGAAATGAGGTTCAAAGAGTAATTAAGACGGACAGATAATGTGCAGGCGCTCTGGGGAGTTTGATACCCTAAGTACACTTAGACATGCACATACTCTTTGTGTATACATAGAAAACAAATGTATTTTTTTTCTTCCCTCAGCATTATCGTCCAATTACTACTATTATTCCTATTCGTAAACAGGAAAAAGCTCTTCTAAACCTAGGGGGGGGGTTTTTTTTGAAAAGGAAGGGGTGTTGCAGTCATATCCCATCGTCAAATACCTCAAGCAGATTGCAACAAAAGCGGGTTATACTATTTGAGATGTCAGTTAAATTTAAAAAAAAAGATATATGCACCTGTTTACTCTCTAAAATCGATTTACAGACGCAATCATGAAGATTATTCATATAAACATTATCTAATCACGTGCATGAAACAAACATTTCTGTTCCGCGCGCGCGCGCGCACAAACCAACGAAAATCTCTATCTTTATCAAACACCGACACAGAAATAAGTGTTTGCCCACATTGTCCTGCAGTCGCTTCCAACACCCGGGTTCCACTTTACAAAGTCAGCCAGGCTGATTTTGTTGTAGCTGGTAAGCTGACTGCACACGACGCCCTCGGCGGCATAGTGAAACTTTTTGCAATTCAAAGTCATGCCAGGTTGTGTGGGCTGCGGTGTCTGAATGCCGTTGGCCGCGCTCGTGGTAGTAGTAGTAGGAGGTGTCGGCGACGACGATGCACCTCGTCCGATGACGCCAACGCACACATTGACATTGGCCCACATGCCGGAGCAATCGTCGTTGACGGTGGGGTTCCATTTGACGAAATCTTCGCGGGTGATTTTCTGGTAGCTGATCACTTGGCTGCATACTACACCCTGGTTGATGAAGTGGAACTTGTTGCAGTTTGCGACCTAGTAGTGGGTCAAATCAGTACATGTCTTGCATGAGGTTTTGTACATGGAACTCTTACCATGCCTGGTTGCGTCGGCTGAGGCGTTTGAATTCCATTTCCTGCGGTGGTGATGGTGCTGGGCTTAGGGGTAGTCGTTGTGGCGCCAATGACGCGGACGCATACGTTGACTAGTTTCTGCAGGCCTGTGCAATCGGCGTTGACCGAGGGATTCCATCGGTAGAGATCCTCCATTGAAATCTTCTGGTAGCTGAGGACCTGGCTACAGACCGTGTTGGGGCCAATGTAATGGAAGGCGGCACAATTGGAAACCATGCCTGGTTGGGTGGGTAGAGGGGTCTCTACGCCGTTGTTACCCTTGGTGGCGGTGGGAGTAGGCGTAGGTGTAGTACTAGGCGTTGGCGTGGAGCCGCCGATGACACCGACGCAGACATTTACCAACTTCTGCAGTCCGGTACAATCCGCGTTGACCGATGGATTCCACCTGAAGAGGTCTGCAACCGAGATCTTCTGGTAGCTAAGCACTTGGCTACAAACAGTGTTCTGGTCGATGTAGTGGAATTTGTTGCAGTTTGAAACCTGACAGATTCGTAGGTACAAAATTAGTGTATGTCTTACATGAATCTCGTACATGTATATCTTACCATGCCAGGCTGGGTGGGCTGAGGAGTTTCCACTCCATTTCCGGCGCTGGTGGTCGTGGTCGTTGATGGTGGCGTTGACCTGCTTGCAGAGCTTGTGACCACAGGCACCGGCGAGGTCGTGAATGTCGAGGGCGTGGGCACAGCTGACGACCGTACAGATGAAGTAGAGCTCGAAGCCGGAGCCGGAGCCGGATCAGAGGCTGCCGGCTCATCGGCGGTCTCAATGCAGTACGACTTTCCGACAACCAGGTTGCCACAGTCCGCGTTTACAGAAGGGTTCTATATGTCTTGTCAGCGCGGTCGTAAGTACAGAGAAGCTGCGGAGTTTCTACCCATCGATGAAACTCCTCAAGGCTGATCAAGTTGGCCTCAAGCATATCCGCACAGGACCCGCCAGACTCATAGTCGAGCCACCAACTGCAGTACTTGGTGGTGTCATCCGCATAAGGCAACGCTGGAGTCAGTCCATCACGAGGCAAGATGCGGGCTGCTGACACGGCTCCCTGGAAGAAGCCGCCGATCAAGAAAAGGCAGGCACTTGAAGACAACATGGCTGCGAGTGCAGGAGTGGGCAGAGGAAAACGAATGAATGCCTGGAGATTGTTCTTCAGCATACACTCATCTTCTTATATGCAACCGAAGCATGTCTTGCTAAAGGCATAAGCTGGATGAATGTGTGCCGCCGAGGTTGAGTCCAAGTCTGGCAGCCTTGAACTAGTGTGTATAATCACTACACAGAAGTAAACTAATCTCTTGCCTTACACACTATATGGATCGTTCGACCGGATCTGGATTTGTCTGTCAGCAGGGTTATGGAGGACCTATGCAGGTACCATTCTCAGACCATTACTCTTTGCGCCTCGCTTGAGCTCTCGCCAACCGAGTAACTATTGCTTGTGATAGAAATATTGAAGCACATCTCGAGTCAGCATCGTACATGCGAGTTTGATGGTGCCGTGCCGTGAAGATGTTCATACAGGGATCCTTTGCGGTTGTTACAGGCGACGCCGTTGCGGCTCCATTGGGAACACTTAATCTGTTGGCATCATAGTAACATCGTGTCGCACGTATAATTCTATCTCCTAGCCCCCTAGCATACCAGTCATAATCTTGGTCTAGGCTGAGTCTATGCATAATAAAATGAACCACTGTTGGAGGTGAAGTTTCTGTACTGCAGGATTGAGGCACAGTTCGATAGTGTGGTGAAAGACCCTGGGAAAGCTTTGACCCCGGGGCCTTGCATTTTGCCGGTAGTAAGTAGAGCTAGCAGTCGAGACTACTTACTGCCTATCGCCATCTAGGACGGAAATGAACACGAATTACAGGGAGATCTAAACGCAGGCATCTCTTTGCAAACTAAAATCCTGCATGGACTCAGCGTGCTTTCGCGCGACAACCCTGCCTGTTTCGCTCGTAGCCGGCACTAGGCAGTACCCGTGTGAAGGGCCGTGCTGTGAACCTCGGGATGTAAGTATATACACACTAACATTAAATGAGCTGTACGATAGCAGACATCCAGATCAAGCTTAGTCTATTCGCCCCTCATTTTAGGCTGCAAGATGGTTCCCTCGACTGCACGGACTTCAGTCTTTTCGACATTCATCGTCTAAGCTTTTTAAACTGATGCCAAGCAAGTCCGCTTTCTTAACGCCAAGGAATACAAGGTCATCTGGCGGGACTTGTCCAATAATAAGGGAGAATCTAGGCAGTGCAGTTAGGAGTGTAGAGGGCGAGGAACGTAAAAGTTTGCAATGCGAGTGTTTTGCTTAGTATTGTACCGTGGGGAAAAGATCGTAATTGCAGTTTCCGCTTTTACGAAGAAGGCCATGAGGGCTATCTGTAGGAAGACGGAGTCTGATTTCATTGATGCATGCTCTTTGGTACATGTTATAGCCAGGATATAAGCACTCAGTCATTCTAAATCTTTACAAGCAATCGTCGAACATCATATTATAAGTATATCTACACTAATCGAGAACACCCACCGATACAGCGTGAGCCTAAAAGCCCATTCCAAAGAGAGCCCTGTTCTTTATGGCGCCATTGCTCGCCGTAGCGGCCTGGACACTCGCGCTCTTAGTAGCAGTGGTTGTGACACTCGCGCTCTTAGCGGTAGTGGTAGCTGGTGTAGCGTTCTCCAATGCCTCAAAAACGTTGACAACGCCCTTGCCTCCACACATGTCCGCCTTATTGCCAGTACAAGGAATGTTGCAGTCAGTCTGATTCTTTGTCCACTCGCCGTTTACATAGTTGCCGCACAAACACTGATTGCCTTCCTGCACACCTACGAAGTTAAAGGCGCGGCGGTAGCAGCTTTGCTTGCACTTAGGAATAGTCAGGGATGCATCCCCGTTTGCATTCGTATTCAGCTGGAGGAGTGGGTGGGTCGGATTCTGAGCGTAGCATCCCAAGGCTTTCCAGGCGGTAGGGGAAGGCGCGAGAGAAGAAGAAGTTGTGCTCGTAGTGGTGGTGGAGGTCACCTCGGAGGAAGTTGTCGTTGGTTTCAAGGCGTCCAGTTTTCTTTTAGTGATGAGGCAATAGGATTGCCGACGCCAGACCTTGCAATCAGGGCCGACTGAAGGGTTCCATTCATAGAACTCTGCTGGAGTGACTAAGTAGTAAGGTACAGGATCAGTACTAGTGAGTTATTAGCTATCTGAAGGGAGCTTACTGTTGTAGATCTCGAGCACGTATTCGCAAGTCTTGCCTTCGCCGTTATTGTACCATTCCACACAGTCCTTGACCGTATCGGGGTCCCATTGAAGGAGTGGACTGCGTGTGGAGACGGCTCGCTGAGCAAGCGCTGTAAACAGCAATGCCAAAGAAGTCCTCATGATGCAAGCTTGCTAAAGGATAAAGTTCAAGGAAGATGTCTTTGGGGTTAAGAAATATGTCAGAGAGAAGTCTACGGCACTCTCTGTGAAGTTAGAAAGAAGGGGATAACCCCGGGTTCTTGCCCATAAAACAATTTGTTTACTCGTCCCGAGTCCCTTGGGCTACTGATGCTAAGTTCTAGACCACGGGACAGCCGAGCGTTGGAAGGTGACATGGAGCGTCCTTCGGCTTGGCCATCTACCTATGTACAGTAAGACTCATAGCTACAGGGTTTCTGACAGATGCAAGTTCTTTGTTCGGATTTATCGACCAATTTGGAAGGTGTCGCTAAGTATCTCGAGGTGGCTTTTCTGCTTTGCTCATCTCGGTTGAAGGAAGCGCGCGCTACTGTGGAGACGCCCTTGTGCACGTGCAAAAGTCGCCCCATGTTGTAGCCACCCCGGCCTCGGCCCGTTTGCGTTCACGCGAGAAGTGTGGGTTAACAGTATCCTGGCCCCTGCTCACCCGCACTTGCATTTGTACTTGTATCCGTCTTGGTACAGAAACAGGTGATTTAAAATTGAGCCTAAACGTTCGAAAATTCTGTCAGCCAAACTGTCGCCACGCCGTATCTGATTTGTATTTTTCCGTAGTGTAAGGCTAAACGCGGAGCGCTTAGCATCAAACACATCCCTCGGTGTGACGGCCTTCTTTACCTGTTTCTTACAGCATATCGGCCCCTTTGCTGCCTACTCCCCTGACTACTAGCTGTAGTGCTAGCATACTTGGTCGCCATTCTACATACACCATGACCACTTTTCGTCCGTTTCCGCGGCTTCCTTTGGAGCTCCGAGAGCAAATCTGGAAGGACACTGTCGAACCACGCACTGTCGATGTCCGTCGTTTTCAAGCGTGGCCTCAACACTATGGCCGGCTGGTATCGTCTACGCCTATACCAGCCATACTACAGTCCTGCCGGGAAGCCCGAAACCTTGGACTTTACAAGAAAGTCTTCTTTGAGGTTGCTGCAGTAACAAGACCCAATAACAACATTCCGCCCGAGATCGGCATCGAGAGATTCTTCACGCCTGACGAGCAGGGGGAAGAAGCAGAATCTTCCAAAACTGAACAGCGTTATGTTTGGATGGATCTCGACATTGATATAATGGATATCGGGACTTCTAAGTTCGACCATTACAAGCATATCGCACCGGCAGTGAAGCGTCTCAAATTTGAGCGGGAGAACACCGATGAATACTTCTACTTTCATGAAGTATTAGAAATGATGCAGTTTATCAATGTCGAAGAGATCCACATAGTTTGCGCAGATGGTTTCTGGAACTGGGGTGGGGCTCTACATGAGCATAACTTCCCCTGCGCCGACGAAAAGCTGCTGTTCATTGACGCATTGGATGGTCGAGTGGCGCGTGGCATGGAAATGGAAAAAATATATAGAGAGATGCTGATGGCCGTGCGGATAGCAAATACTGGCGAGGCATATAACACTGACGACGAGTTTTCAAGCTGAATCAATGCTACCGATGAAAAACTGTTGCTTACTCCAAAACTATCTGATGATACCGTGACCCAAACCTGAGTCCTGAAGATCTTCGTCGAAATCCAACGATGGCTCAACTATCGACCGCAGGCAAGCTGTTGACTTTGGATCTGCTTGAAAGAGTTGATCACCTGCTTGTGATCTCTAGCATGAGAATCGCCGCTGTTATCGCCATACCACTCATTTAAGAAGTCTGTTATCTCAGTTCCCGCATTCTTATTACCTGCCTCGCGAGCTTCTCGTTCGGTCTCTGCCCAATCGACTGTTTCCCAATTCTTACTACTGTCAACCTAAATGTAATCTAGTGAGTAAAAAGAACTGAGTCATGCATGAATACAGCCCACATTCACGTACCGGATTGCGGCCTAGAGATTAGCATAGGCTATTAGCTACCATCTTTGATAGACATTGGTATCTTACGCACCTATAACTTCGATGTTGATGTCCATGTTGGGCAGCTTCTGGCGCGCCTTCTCGATGAGGAAAGGACCATGGTCACCTGTACGCGCCTTGATGACTAGGTCTCTTGTGGCATCTAGACATCCGTTGCACATCAGTATGTAATGTCGGTGCGCAATGATGCAGATGCGACGGACCAAAATTCTTGAACAACTTCTTCGTAGCATCATCCATGCCAGATGATCTCGCTCTGTACGTATCGTCTACACTATATATTGACATGTAAAGTTAGTGACTGCCTTACACCTTATTGAAAGGAATTACTTACACTTGACCAACTTTCACGATGCACGCATTCCATTCGAAAGTGTCCTTAACGGCTAACCACGCACCAAAGTTGTTGACCTTAGCGTTACCCGCAGCCTGACCAGGCGCTGGCGTGAGGTATTGGTTGTATGTTTTCAAAGCTGTCGCTTCTACATCAAGCTCGCCTCCTGACATTGAGGACCATCCTGTACGCAATCCCGTCTTACCTAGAGCGAATACGAACTGATCATAGGTCAAAGTCGAACCTCTCTTGCTTCCTGGCTAGTTTTTGGTGTACCGAATAAGTCAGTCTGATCAGGTTGTATATGCATGCAGATGCGACGTACCATCCTAACCCAATTTGCACATGTCTTTGTGTTCTTAGTGACTCCTTTGTCTTTGCACTGCCAACCGATTGTTTGATCATCGTAGTCGTTGAGGCTATCGATCAAGTAGGCTTGATACAACCACACGCGTTCGAGGCAGCCTTGATATCCGCCAGCCCATGCGGCCACGAAGAGGGAGAAAAGAGTGCAAAGAAGAGAGTTCTTCATTTTGTGGTGCTGTAGAGCAGTAGCGACTGGAGTAAAGATAATACTGAATGAATGATTGAAGATGGATGTCCCGGTGATGGAGGAAGACACTTAGGTATACACGCAGGTGGACAGCCTCGCTTGTCTAGAATCTAGATACATGAATTTTACCAGGATTCAAACAGTGCCATGCATCCTTGTCCAAGTCTTGCTGATCGAAAGCCTTGAACAAGCCCAATTTAGATAGCCCGATGACTTGCTCATCCTAACCACCATCCGCCATATCTGCCGAAGCGTTGACCGGATCTAGACCCGACCATCGAAACCCCGGAGTGTGTGGGATGTGTCAAGAATGGTTAGCATGCTTGAACATAAGCAGAAGGATTAAAATCATGTATTGAGGTTGTATCTGGGCTGCTTGATTAGCTGAATCTCCAACTAGGATGCACGCCACTGCCCACTCACCTTGTAGCTACCATATGCACGGAGCGGAACAGTGCTGCAGAAGGATTCTTGAAGAAGAGCCGATATAATACCGGGGTATCTTGCACAAATTTAATAATGTTTTCGTGCTTGGTCGTCCGTCGCGTCTTGGCCGGTCTTGCAGGACTACGCCGCACACTAGCTGAGCACACGGCCGAGGACGATGCCGCAGGGTCCAACTGCCCCTGCATCTACGGCTACGGTAGCGTGCCTTGGCAGCTATCGCCGGCACCCCTGCCCGAAACGGTCTAAGGTTCCTACACTCTACTCACAATCAATCGCAACCACACATGTTAACATCCCAGGGTATGAGTTCCGAGGCAGACTGTGGTTTACATCCCGTGCCTGGCTATTCAAAGGATCCCGCGGCTCAAATTAGATGCATGGCTCTAGGCCTTCAAAAGAATTCTTCCGTGCGCAACTATTGTCCCTGGAGAGCTAAATCCACATGGGTAGTATGCACTGTGTCGAGCTCTTCAGCGTACGATGCACGTGAGCATCAAGGTCCAGAGAAACTTATCTGCATTCAAAATCCGCGCTTTTCTGCATTCCTTGCAGTTGCGCTCTTCAGTGCAGGAGCACCTTTCACTCGTTCTCAACACTCTTTTTGCTTTCCTTTGCCACCATGAGGGCTTTCTTCCACTCTTTCGTTCTGGTCGCCCGGCTGAGTGTAGGTGTATTGGCCATCCCATCTGATGATCGTGTCGCCATTCGAGCTCAAGATGCTGGTGACGACCTCGATGAATGGCTGGCAGCAGCACAACGAGTATCAGCAGAGGCTCTTAAGGCTTGCCCTTCCTCCTGTAGCACGGCGAGCAACAAAAACTGTAGGTTCACTTCAAAACTCTGGTGATGTCGTGCTCACTTCACACAGTGACCTCGAGAGCCGAATGGTTCTTGTTTCCCGATGCCACGAAGCTAGCACTGTGCAACGAGACCATGCTACTCGATATGGTTGTCAAATCAGCCATCAATGACGATGCCGCACAGACAGTTGTTAGGGCTTGCTCAGCCGACTACGACTCCGGCCTCAAGGCTGCATTTGTAGCCGAGGAAGGGAAGGCGTCTCTTTGTACGACTGCCAACCGTGTTTTGGAACAGAACTCCATTTACCTACACCAACCCCAAGTAGGAGCTGACGAGTTCTCTGTGAACCATCTCCTTTCGGCTGGCCGCCAAATCGCCAATCACATCAAATTACAGGAGCCTTCCTGCACCAACAATGCAATGGAATTTGCATACTCTCAGTCGTCAAGCATTGGTCTCTTTGCTGGAGCTGAAGTCCATCAGCACGGCATCACTAAGATCGTTCTTGAGCACCTTCTTCAATACGCACAAGATAAAGCCATATCAAAGACCACCGTAGTACAGGTAGGTGCTGATGCACTGAGTCGCCGCCGTACTGTTACTGACATGGGCTGATTAGCTATGTGGATCCGATGGCCGTGGCGCAGATTATAGTTTGGGAATCGTTGCAACAAGTGCAAAGAATCTTGCCTTTGTTCAGGAAGCTGTTAGGACCTGGGCCAGCGGAGCTTGCGTACCAGCCACCGCGGGCGAGGAGTGGATGAATGTCAACCTCCGAGTCCCTGGCCCTGTCACTGGCACCTCGAACAGTACTAATACCACAACTGCAGCGAACAATACTATAGTTGCACGCATGGAATCTAGATCACGTCTTAGCATCAGGGCTGATTGCAGGACAACCACCGTTCAGTCTGGCGATGGCTGTTTCGCAGTCGCAGGTCGGTGTGGGATAAGCCAGGCCGATCTCCAAAAGTTCAACCGCCAGAATCTCTGCAACACACTTATAAAGGATGAAAAGGTCTGCTGTAGCACGGGAACTCTGCCAAGCACTTTGCCTGCCGGCAATTCAGATGGCACCTGCAAAACGATAGACGTGGTTAGTGGCGATAGCTGCGGCTCCCTTGCTTCAAAGTGCGGCATCAGCTCAGCAGACTTCATGAAGGCGAACACCAAAACTGATCTCTGCTCAAAATTAATTGAAGGTCAAAAGGTCTGCTGCTCTAATGGTAAATACCCAGATATAAAACCAAAGAAGGATGCAAATGGCAATTGCGCCGTGTACACGACAAAGAAGGACGACTATTGCTCCAAGATCGCCGTCTCCCGTGATATCACGGTGGCTGAGCTTGAGAGTTTCAACAAGAAGACATGGGGCTGGAACGGGTGCGACCGTCTCTTCCCAGACTTCAAAATGTGTATCAGCGAGGGCAGCCCTCCCATGCCTGCCAACGTTCCGGTATTTATTCATCCCTCCATTCTACTATTACATCGAGATGAGAGCACCATGACTGACAACCTCGCTTTTCTAGAACGCCGTGTGTGGACCAACGGTAAGAACCCATTCTCGTTTGCTGAATTTAGAGCACAAAGACTAACGAAACAAGATGAATGGCACAACCCAACCTCCTGCTGGAACAGACCTTGCTACCCTCAACCCCTGCCCACTCAACGTTTGCTGTAACATTTGGGGCCAGTGCGGTATGACTGACGACTTTTGCGTCATCTCCAAGTCCGAGACGGGTGCTCCCGGAACTTCTGCCCCTGGCAAGAACGGCTGTAAGTGCCCTCCATCTATGGTGGAGCATCTATGCCTCCGACGTTTGCAATACCTTTGCGTGGATATCCTTGGCAGAGATTCCCCTACTCGCCGTTATATCAAGTTTCAATAACTAATTGGGACGTAGGCATCAGCAACTGCGGCAGGGACATCATCAAGGGTTCAGCTCCGGCAAGCAAAATAAAGCTGGCATATTATGAGAGCTGGAATTTCAATCGCCGTGAGCCTTCTTATCTGAACGTTATATTCAGCACACACTAACTGAAGTGGTCCTCCAGCTTGCTTGACAATGCACGTCGACCAAATCGATACGTCCACCTATACCCATATACATTTCGCGTTTGCGAATGTCACCCGAGGCGACTACCGGGTTGAGATCACTGATCCCAAGGTTTTGGAACAATTCGAAATCTTCAAGGGAATGACAGGCGTGAAGAAGATCGTCTCACTCGGTGGCTGGGCCTTCAGTACTGAGCCAGGAACTTTCCAAATTCTCCGCGAAGCCGCAAAGCCTGTGAGTGAACACCATGTGCGAAATTCTTTTGAAGCACACTGACATTGTACCTCGACCGCTAGGCCAACCGTGAAAAGTTCAAGAGCAACCTTATTTCTTTCATGAACGAACATAATCTTGATGGTATTGACCTTGATTGGGAATATCCAGGCGTCAGTACTACCTGTGCTTAAGAACTGCTTGGTTAATGGGGCTAACATATGATATTTAGGCTCCCGACATCCCAGATATCCCTTCAGACGATCCCGTGAACGGCCTGAACTACTACAGGCTTCTCTCTAGCCTGAAGTCTTCTGTTGGCTCTTCCAAGTCGGTATCCTTCGCAGCACCAGCATCATACTGGTATCTAAAATCATTTCCTATCAAGAATATGGCCAAGGACCTAGACTACATCGTCTACATGACCTACGATCTTCATGGCCAATGGGACTATGGTAATAAGTGGACATCGCCTGGTTGCGACACAGGAAACTGTTTGAGGTCTCACGTAAACGAGACTGAAACTAAGGATGCTCTCTCGATGATTACTAAGGCAGGCGCAGCGTCGAACAAAGTAGTAGTAGGCGTTGCTAGCTATGGCCGATCGTTCAAGATGGCTCAGTCTGGGTGCGACTCTGAACAGTGTAGATTTACTGGATCGCCTCGACTATCGAACGCTGCCAAAGGACGCTGCACGGAAACCGCAGGCTATATCTCTAACGCAGAGATTAACGAGATTGTCCGGTCTGGCAACGTCAAGAAGAAGTGGACGAGTGAAGGGTCGAACATTATGGTCTATAACGACACTGAGTGGGTGGCATGGATGGATGATGACATGAAAGAGGAGCGTGCAAAATTTTACGACTCCTACAATTTTGCTGGCACAACTGATTGGGCTGTGGACCTGCAGGCTTTCAACGAGTATGTCATTTGATTCTCAAGCTGAGTGAGCCACTTCAGGCTAACATCACACAGTGGAAGCGGTGACGCCGACGACGACGACGAGAGCTACATTGATCGGAATTACTGGTCTGGATGCACGGCTAAGTACACTACCTTGGACCAGATTGACGACGCTAAGGACATCTTACCCGCCCATTGTCTTGAGCAGTATATGTTCGCTGTAGAGATCTCCAATTATGAAGACGCTCTAAATAAGTACAAAAAATTGATGGACAACGGCTATGACAAGAAGTTTGCGGTCTACGAAAAATACTCTCGGGTGAGACGTCCTCTTTAAAATATTTGTGGCTTTGACTAATCCAGCTTTTGCACTTGCTAGGACCAAGTACCGGAGCAAATCAACAACTTCATGGCCACTGACAAAGTCGACAAGTATTTCAACTGCAAAGAAACCCGCTACGCTGATTGCTGCTCGGACTGCACATACCCTACCTGCAGATTAACCTGCGTTGATGGCGATAAGAATTGTAAGAGCGGTCGTATGACTTTGGACATCGCCTGCCCGAAGATGGAGTTCGAGGACAAAGGTTTAGATGTTGGTGAAACTATCCCTAACGCCACATTTAGCTTCAAAGACGAGGAAGGCTTCTGGAATGATCTCGGAGAGACTTGGGGTATTGAGAAGTCGTGGGTCTCGTTTGGAAGAAGGCGCATGCGAATCAGCAATGGCTGTCAATATGCCGGGGCGGACGTTAACGGCTGCATAGACGACTCGCCTGACTGGTGGTATGACTACCCCCGACCGAGCGATAATATCGAGATCTACAATCCAAAGAAGGTGATTGGCGATTCCTATGACACAGCGAAGGAGACGCTGGATCGATTCAAAATAATGAGGATTGCAGGACTTTATGATGGTAAGACATCCTCCACATAAAGCTTGTGACAAACACACTGACTTTTCACGCGCACATTCAGAACAAATGCAAATGGCCGACTTAGTTGATGCCGCGTCTATCCCTGTATACTCGGCCGTCGAAGCTATCGAGGCAATGGAGAAGATTGTGGAGAAGGCAAACGAACTCAAGAAGAAAGAACGAGAGGAGATGATCCTTAACTTCATCATGGGTATTTTGTTCTTTATCCCCGTGGCTGGCAATGCCGCTGGTTCTGTGGGCTTGACAGCGGTCCGAAGTATGCTTCGTCTCATTGGCACGGTCGGTGAGGCGGGTTTGGTGGTTTATGATCTAGTGGAGAACCCCGAAAACGCGTTCCTAACCATCTTTAGCTACGTGGCAGGTGCTGGTGTTGGTCGGAGTGGTTTCAAGAACGCTGCCAACGCTAGGCGTGGCATGAGCTCCAAGGAGTATCAGAGCCTGGGTAATGTGAAGGTGAAGCTGGATATGTTGACAAGCATTCGAGGGAGCACGTGCAAGATTTGAGGTGCTGTGAGGAAGATTAGGAAAAGATGGACTTGACTATAATCAACTGACTGACGTGCTTAACAGTCGGCCATTCCAAGATTCCTTTGTAAACATCTCACTTATATATGTGTGTTGAAACTGTATAATACAATTGGTTCGGAAACATACTGTGTATGCAGCATAGGGATTTCAACATCCCGCCAGAAAAAGCCTCCAGTGAGGCATGTTACCTTCAAGATCGATATCACACATGGAGTGCTTGAAGAACGGGTAATCAGGAACGCACGCTAATGAAACATAACCTTCTTAATTGTCGAAAAGAATCAAGAACAGCATCTATCTGCTACATCTCCATGTCTAGTAGCCTTTCGGAGATTATTGCCAGCGGTAATGGTTACAGCAATCCGTGCTGCGCAAGATTAAGGTTAGCATCAGACGACGGAGGCGGTCTTGGAGGAGCGGCGCAGATTCTGAGAAGCCAGCTGATAGCGGCAGAAAGCCGGTGGGTGCTAGCGAAGCAGTCGAAGATAGAGATTGGGTGCATAGTACGGGACGCGTGGCAAGTAGAGAGCAAGGGAAATGCCGCCCATACAAACGTTCTCAGGGTTTTTATCCTTCGACCTCGCCGCTTTCCAACAGCCTTCGGCGTACTCTGCATCGGTTAAATCGCGTTTTGCTTTCAAAACGCCATTGGCTATACAATCCTGGTTGATAAGCATGTTATCGAAATCAGTGTCACTAGGATCGCTCGACGCCATTTGGAACGTCGGGTGGGGATAATATCGGATATTTTGGGCATGGCCCTAGGGATGGAAGCTCTTGGATGGCAAAAGCACGATGAAAAATGGACATGGCAAGCGAAATTCCCTGCCCGAGCATTCGACTAGCCTTTTCCATGGTAGCTTAAAGCTGCAATCACAGTATAAGGTAAGAATTGATTTTCTCATAAATCATGCATTGCAATTATTACTGCCAATCTCAGATGCTCATTCACTCAGTTGCTTACAAGATGCTTAGTCAAAATCCCATCCCAATCACACTTAGCCCGTAGTAAAACCGCTCCTAGTTACAAGTCGAGTCGTATACACGCACGCTGCAGATAGCGGCGCCTTATATTCCCTCTATGTATGTCTCGATAAGATAACTTACTCATCATTGAAATTGCTAGTTATCAAAGAACTCTTAGCTTAGACCTGTGCGTGCAATAAGACAGTACTTTTATGCCTACACGATCCAACTACATCACTGCGCAATCTACCTGCATCAGGGCCCAAGCCTGACATAAGCGGCTTTACTTTCCCACTGTGATGTCCCGTTGTCACATATCCTGCGTGGCGTCACTGATGCTCTGGCCTTGGCATGATGTCAATCGCATGATCGTCGCTCTGCGGTGATCATTATCTTCTGACGTGGTGGGCGGATGCAGAAATACTTGTGTAGAATCTAACCAACGAGCCTAATTTCTTGTTATGGCGATAATCACTGCTGCTGCTGGTGAGCTATCGCGGCTGAAGCCGCCCAGCGAGCCGGTGCCGAAGCGCCGATCGTGGAACGCCGTACGCGGCAGGGGCGGATTTTTGTGGAAAAATAAACACTAGCACGATAATCACAGATCACTGATTGTATTGTAACCTCGCCATTGGGCCATAGAAGACGCATTCTGGGGGTGGTCAGCTTTGAAGTTAAATTAGTGGGGTACTTAGTTGGGGTGGCCAACTCTATCCCACCGACCTTATTCTCAAGACGACTAGCTTTAGACCAATTATAATCTTTGTCTGGAATTTCAAAGAATTGCTACTCGGATCGCAGGCCCAAAAATTGACTCCGTTAAGAATGGACGAGCGATTTCATTCTTCAAGAACCTCTCTCCCACTTACCGCTTATTAGTAGACTACATTGCGCCAAACAACATGGTGTAGAGAGCGGGTACCAAGGAGTATGTGCCATCCCCAACTTGCGCAGCGTGGTGCGGGACCCCAACTGGGTGACAACCAAGCCAACTTCTTGGTCATTCCCTTCCTGGCGCCGGCGCTAGACGGGCCGGACGATCGGTGGGTCTTAGCAGAGTACATAACCAGCATACGTGTACGGTATGTCAGCTTAAAGAGGTACCAATAAGCTATCAGAAGAGCGCCAGTAAAGCCTCACTTGAATATGACAGCTTTCTGACGACACAATAACATCATCGACAGCTACTACCAAACCCTCGTCTAGGATAGCAGTGAGAGGTCTAGGATAACTAATTAAAATCTTTAATACCATAAGCGGAATCCTTCTTGAAAGTGAGACTACCACACGTTCGAATATCTAATTTGTAGAATTCTCCTCTCCCTAACAAATCGACGGGTTGTGTCTCTAGACATATTCATGAGGAATGCAGGGTTTTGGTAAGCATGGGCAGCTATGACTTGGTTGACGTAAAAACGATCTGCATGTGACGATGCCTGACTCAGCTCCACCCAAGCCACCAGATGCCCAAAAAGGTACAGTATACTGCATTGGCAGTATCTGGAGCTGAAGAGTATATACGAATGGCACTGCGATTCCCTTGCCATGTCCTATAATACATGGGACTAGCTATCAGCATCAAATTAGTAACACGTTTACGTGGCCCTTCCTTACGCACACCGGCGCAACTGTATCTTCTATTCGGCGATGACTATTGAGATCAACTCAGCTACCAGAGGCATGGCACGACCATCTGAAGACAGCGATCGCCAGCTAATACCAATTGGTTTCTTTTCGTCGTAGTAAGCAACTTGCACCACCATATAAGTAGTGTCGAATAGGTACAGAGTTAATCAATCTTGATCACATTATTTCTATCATCCCCCTGGTCTTTTACATTCATAAGCACCCACGACAGCGATATGGATCTAGCATACGCAACCCTCATGAGCAAGTGCACTGAAGGCACTTTCTTGTACACACCACCCAAAGACAAAATCTTCCATCCAGGCTCTTGCGGCTTCTTCAACAAAGGCGGACAGTGGGAATCGATTACTGATCTCACTGATCTCAGTGAATCCGACCTCAATGGGTACGTCCGTCCTACCAAGCAGCTCAATCTGATGGAGCCGACCGTGTGCACATGGAAGAAAAAGGTTGTAGAAAAAAACGAGGGCCATGGCTTTAGCGTCAAAGCAGAGGTTTCCGGACTCGCTGCTCAAGCACCTGTGGACGTAGGAGCCAATGCCGCAGTAGGAAGCACTGCAAAGGCCGGTGCAGGCGTCATCGTGTCACCAAACGTGGTGCACAAAACATTTGATACCAAAGCCCCAAAGATAATTCACGACTGGATGAAGGACAACATGGAGAGCTTATCTGCTCAGCATAAACAACAGATTGCGGAGTTTGGCGTCTGGATTATCACGGCCACATGGGTTGCAGAGAAGTGTGATATTGCCATGTGGAACAAGACCGGCAACAAAATCGATCTTGGATTCGACGTCGGAGCGACAAATATTGGCAAAATCGGGCTCAATGGTTCGCGCGAAATTCAGTTCGATATTGACGAACACATAGTATATGATGTGGGTACATTTCGTTCCACTACACAGTGATATTCGTACTGAGGAGAAAAAAAACTAGCAGGAGCCGGGTGGATACGCAATCTCTTTTCGCGGCGTACAATTTAGACCAAGCTCGAAGTTTTGGAGCAATGTAAGTGGTTCCTTTTTTCTTTCCTTTTGAAAGTATTCTTACCGCAACGCACATGGGGCATTTTTATCCTAGAAGTTTGGAGAGAGAGAGGGAGAGACTGATTGAAGAAACTTAGAAATTGAAGGAAAAAGGCCCCAAGGATGGCTTCCTGCGAACTGCCCCAATCCAATTTCTTGATCGCGATGGAAATCTCATTGATGAGGATGGTAATCTTATCGACAAAGACGGAAATCGCATTGACGAAGAGGGAAATCTCATTGTTGGCACGATAAAGGTGCACGTGGTGAATCAACTTGCAGCTGCAAATACTATAGTGAGGAAGCGGATTGATTGATTGTATCTGTTATCGTGTTGAGTATCTACAGTACCTCCGCGCACGGGCCAATAGGCGGTGACGACGCCTTTGCCAGTGCTCGTGTCGACCAATCAGTGTCGCGGATCAGTAGGACTCAAAGTCGAGTCCTAATTGATTCCAACACTCATTGAAGAGCCAGAGATATATATGGAGTTGGTTGGGTTTGATGAGGCGGATATACAAACCGAGTAGAGAAGTTTGCTAATATGTGTTGTTGTTTTTTCACGCAAACATATATATTGCCATTGTTTTCCAATGTTACTTTCATCTTATGCCGGCTTATTTTAACGTACCGTGTCCGTGCGCGAATGGCTCAAGCTGTGCAGTGTCCCACTTGGCAATACGTGAGCCTTAGTTAGTAACGTAGTGGCGAATCCAATTAAGCCTGTACTTTAGAAGACGCACCAGTAACTGGTTTCTAAGTGCTGATATAAGACTTGAGATTCCGAAAGCTAACTAGATCGTATTTCCGTATGCACAAATATTACTCTAAGGACTGATCGTCATACGCAGCTAAAAACTGCAAAGATATGCATAGTAGGAACCGGGAGGGGTTTTTTTAAAAAAAATAAAAATAAAAATAAAAATAATGCATTGCAACTATTGCTATCGGTCTCAGATGCTCATTCACTCATTTACAAAATGCCCCGGAGAATCCCAGACCAACCGACCTAGTTCATACCACTCTAGTTGCAAGTAAGATCGGCAGTGTTTCCATCGTAGCTGCAGAACCTGCTGTCGTACTGGAAGGCAAGCTGTGTTACAAAGTTAGTAATCGTTTTTTTCCAATGACGTTTGTGGTAGACGGAGGGGAACTAACGTTAATGTAACCACCATCAGACTGGGTGTAAAACTGGTTGTGGCGACCAATGTACATGCAGTCGTAGTCGGTGTGGAAAGCACCGAGGCTGAGCTTCATGCTGACAACGTCGGAGATGGCGCGGCGGTCCTTGACGTCCCAGCTCTTGTTGTAGCAGACAGTGGCGACCCAGCGGTTGCGGTCCGGGTTGTTCTGGTACATGAGGGCGGTGGTCTGCTTAGTGAAGGTCTCGCGGGCGGGGTTCCAGTCCTTGAGCGGGAAGAGCTTGTTGAGGATGGCGTTGAGGATGCGGCCGACGGCTTGGCCGGCGCTGCCAGAGTGGTCGCCAATGACCTGCGCGTTGGCAGAGGGGGTCTGGCGCTTCTCGAGGTCGGTCAAGGCGGAGAGGTCGAGGACCTCGGAGGTTATGCCGTCCTATTGTATGGGTTAGGAAAAAGGAATCTTGGGAAAGGGATGTGGGTAGGGTGTGTTCGTACGCTGGTCAGCACAACAGGAGTCAAGGTGTTCACCTCGGGAACGGCTGCGGCGTTGGTAAGGGCCGCGGCCATGACAATCAAGGGGACGGTGAAACGCATGGCGATGGAGAGGAGTGGTGGAACAAGAGTGATTCTTGAGAAAGGATTGAAGAGTGCGTTTGGAGGGATTGAAGTCCGAAGATGTGCTTTGAAGGCTAGATCTCGTGGTGAGTGATGATTCTCCTTTACAAGTCGTCTTGTACTCCTTATATACAGATATCTGAAGATACCAAGCTGCACTTCGAATTCGTTCTATCTGCTTTCAGATTGGAATATTAATTTCACCGGTGGTTGTTTAGCACGAATCAACCTATTCGGGATAGGCTATTAGTGAACCAGGGGAGCTTTGACTCGGGGCTTTTCATGTACCTTGTTGAGTCGGCCTATAGAAGGGGTTCTCTATACCCCGTGTAGGGATATGCATCCCTCACATGATGTTTTCCACCAACGGAATGGCTGCATGCTTGACATCTGTTGATCGCGAAATGTGCCCTGCATTATGCTGCTATGTACGTATGTACATCAACTAGCAACTCACCACTTATCTAAACCGTCTATCCACTTTTTTGCTTGAAAATTTCACATAGTTTGAGATGGTGGATTGTGATAGACCATCAGACACTGAGCAATTCAGTAGGCATATTACACTGTTCATGCACATCATGCCCAATTGCAGTATGTGGATAAGTAGATCCATCATCTACATACACAAGTGCTGACTGAAATACTAGCTTAGAAACGGCACAGGTCCCACTTGCACATCACTCCATCCTTTAGGTCCGATACCCAGTAGCAATAGCGTTATACACGTAGCTCAGCGACTCGAAAGTGGGTTTCGGGAAGCTCAAATCCCCCCACCAACTAAGATCCTCTTTACCCGTTTTACGAGGACAATCCACGTGCTATCAACTGACTCCCAACCGCCAAGAAAATATATTACATTAAGAGCTAGAGCTAGCAATAGCTACTTATCTTGGTCTAACGGTAAAAAACATCCCCACTATACTCAAGTAGGTAAGCTACTAGCGCGCTGAAAAACCTTCTAGATACATACCCCTCTAGTACGTATTAGTACACGAAACAAAGCGGATCTCGCGCACACATCGTACCCACCAGCAAAGAACTAGTACTAGGACTGGACTGCCATGCATAACTTACTTACTTACTTCCTACTAAAGCATCTCAGCCCTAAAGTCCAACCCCCAACCACCAAATTATAACATTCGGTTCAGTACTAACTCAGCAAAAAAAACGACGTTGAAAATGGAATCTGACATGAAACGATAAGACAGCAACCCACTGCAGCGGGCAGCCATGGCGCAATTGTCATCATCTTGTTTGGCTGGCAACCAACCAATCAACGCTACGTAACCCGAGCAAGTCGAACTCGGACCGAGCCCCCCCCAAAGACCTCAAGTCCGACCGAAAACCACCGATGATTTAGCATCGACCAACTTGCCCCCCAGAATATTGCCCCAGTTTCCTTCTTTTTTTTTTAAATTCTGCCGTGCGCGACCGTTGTTGCGCCGGGTCCTTTTCTCGGGGAGCGACAATCGGCAGTCATCATTGACTAGATTGTGTAGTACTTATCCTTACTTATCCTTATCCTTATCCATCCTTTCTAGTTTCAAATTCGCAGCTACTGGTTCACAGCACTTGCCCACTTTGTATTTGTGATACTAGTAGCTGGTGAATTCTGACTTGGAAATTTTGCTTTGTCGACGGCCCCCTTTTTTCCATTTGCCAAGCTTAAATCTGTGGAACGGGATGGGGGGGGGGGGGGGGTAGTGCCGTGGGATGTCAGCATTCTTGATAACGATATGGGTGCAGATGTGAGTGAGTGAGTGTGTTTGTGAGTAAGTGAAGCAAAACAAGCTTTTGGTCGCCGTGGGCGTTGCTTGGTCAGAGCGTAGTTACTAGACTGTGGAATACGAGGCGTTGACCCCCCAATGATGTGCGATGAATAATGGAGTATTTTGTCTGGGGGAGAAAGTCTACCGAGTGCAAGGACTGTGGCTAGAGGGGGAAATGAATTGGAGGTCTGGTCCACTTTGACGCTGCTGTATCGGACCGAGATGATTGCAATGGTTCGGTGTTACTAGTCCCATCCGTGTCTCTGGGTCTTGAGTCGAGGTTCAAACGTGATTGTACACGGGCCCTGACTTGGCGGTCGTGCCTATCCTGATGCTTGGCATGTTAGTGGTTGTACATGTCACTCTACTTGTGTCCGTGCTGGCGTATCGTGGTTGCAAATGACCTGCTCGTTTGAGGTTCAGCGCGAAGCAGTTGATTTTAACCGACAAAGTGGATTCTGTTATAGTATTCACTGAACTAGTAGTGCCAAGTGCACGTGGCTATCTCCAAGGCAGTCTTGCCTTACTCTTTTGGCTCACGAGAGTCATCCGGGGGAGAAGCAAAAAAGGTGGCAAAGAAGACTATAAGTATCAAACTATTTCCTACCTCTAAAGACAAATCATAGCATCAGCATCAAAACACTTTCAAACTCCTCACTACCGCACTCATCTACATAGTGTGAACTGCACAAAGTACGACCTGCCTCTCCCTCCATCCACCACTACATCCAACTAACCCCCTCGCCCTTTCAGCATCGAAGATGAAACTCTCACCCTTCACCCTCCTCCTCTTCCCCCTCGCAGCCAGCGCCTGCTCCAACTACCAATCCTGCCACTGCTACGACTCAAACGGTGTCCCCAACGACGCCGTCACAGCACAAGTATGCGCCGGGTTTGGCGACAAAGCCTCCATGGCGGATGCGAGTCGCGGGTCCGATGGCGCACGCGAGTGCAAAGCCAACAAGTCAAAGGAAGTTACGTTTAACAACTGTTCTTGGAGGCAGTGGTGCCAGATTGCGGGCGCGACGGGCAAGGATAGCAGTTGCCGGGACAAGAAGACGTAAAGTGTTTGAGTTTGACGGTTTGAAGGCTGGGGTTCAGGATGGAATAGGGAGAGACGACGAAGTGTTTGGGGAATTTGTTGATGATCTTGGGTATGAGGGTGGGGTTTTGCTTGATGCTTCAGCTTATGAATGTAGTGATTATGCATGATGTTTTTTTTTAGTTTTGAGATGACACATGTTAAATGGATATACGAGACTTGGAAGTGAAGTAGTGTGTTTTTCGTCGTATGTGTATCGTGTCTAGAAATGTGAGGGATGCGTGGAACTGCACTATGGACTTGGTATCTAGTGGTGCGTTCTGGTTGGTGAATGAGTAGGGTATAACGTAAGCTTACTTTTGATGTAATCATACCTCTACTATACACTCTTGCCTCTAGGTACTCTGACACCTACCATACTACTAACCCTACATATGATCCATTAAGCTCTACCCAATCCACCAGCCTAGGGTCTTCAACAGATTCAGAGCAACCGCTACCATGCTATCGGTAGGATGAATGATACAAGCATGCTTGAATTTACTACGTGGAGCGACTTCACAGCTATAGCTATTTGATTTCATAGGCAGCTTCATGGTGTCTTACCAAGTATGATTAGTCGTTGCCTACTTGATTTGATTTTGGACAGAGACATTGTTGTACCAGCTTAGTCTGCCCTATACCAAGGGAATGGTTTAACATACGTCATGTAAAGCAGTAGTATCCCAGGAACTCGGTTCACATCTTGGCAAATATATTGTCCAATCTAATTGCTTGGCAATCCTATGTGTAGAAAACAACGCTTTCAGTAACTAGCGAACTGTGTACATTACAGCTTAAGCCGTAGCAAAATATGTAGGAGTGAATATAAACAATTTATAGCTTTAAGAGCTAGGAATGACAGGCTGAGGCTGAGCAAGCTTGAAGGTGCCATTCTCAAACAAGATCTTCCTGACCTTGGTGTTGCGGAGATCATCACGGCCAGAAAGCGAGGCATCAGCGTAGTAAAGAAGCCAGTCATTCTTGAACTTGACAATCGACTCGTGGGTAGTCCATCCCTTGACAGGCTGCAGAAGCGTGCTCTTCCAGTAGTAAGGACCGTCAGGCTTGGTAGCGGTAGCGATTTCAACAGTGTGCGAGGTGCCGGTAGAGTACTGGAGGACATAGAGGTTGCCGACCTTGTTCAGAGATGGGCCCTCGAAGAAGCGGCGCGTGCTGCCTGCCTGCATGACCTTGCCGTCCTGGTCGTAGATGACGAGTTCCTTTGGTGTGGTGGCGAGAGAGGTGAGGTTAGCCGAGAGCTTGGCGAAACGGGGTCCGATGGCTGGGCCGGAAGTAGGAGCATTGTTACCGAATAGGGATGTGTTCTGAAAATCGCGTTAGTATTAGCTTGGTCACGCTTACCAACAGCTGGGGTTGTGCGGAAAGGCGGAGGCTTACCAAGACGTTGTTGGTCCATGCTTGAAGCTGGCCACCCCACAGTCCGCCCCATACCATGTAGTAGTTGCCATTGTCTTCCAAGATTGTGGGGTCAATGCTGTAGGTGCCGGCAATCGGGTTGGGCTCGGGCTTGAATTTTCCGTCCGGCTTGTCAGATTTGGCCACTCCGATGCGGAAGACATCATCCTTGTCCTTGGCTGGGAAGAACAGGTAGTATTGTCCATCCTTCTCAGTCGCATCAGGAGCCCAGAGTTGCTGTGTCGCCCATGGGATGTCCACAAGGTCCAAAAGCTAGTTTTCTGTCAGTTACAAATTCCAATCTCTAGCTAAAGAATTGGTATACCTTTGGTCCGACTGTGGCAGGCTTGGTGTAATCGGTCTGGGTAAGCACATAGTAATCCTTCATGTCGTATTGCTGTTCTTTGTCAACCTGCATTCGCATAATAGAAATCCTTGAATACTGACCACCGGGGGCTGCCTGGTCGAGTTCCAGTCGTGGGATCCATAGATGTATACAGTGTTGGGATCATGCTTCCAGACGTGGGCTGCAGGGTCGCACTGGTGGAAGGTGCTGATAAGCGGGGGGTCGTAGGCTTGAACAGACATGTTGAAAACGACGAGTCGGACACGAAAAGAGTGTTTGGCAAGCTTGGTTCACTGTTGTGCAATGAAAGCCTGGGTGCTGTCAAGAGGGCGTGGACAGGCAACCTTTTAAGGCCCTCATAGCGCAGCTTGAGTAAGTCATTTTAGTGTCTGACATCGGGCGGTCCCCACCCGATTTTTAGCCTAATCTTAGGGGAATAAGCAATCTGAGAAGTTTAGAATGGGCCATCTTCAATGGTGCAGAAGATATGGGATTGGGGGAGCTTGTGCAATTATGCGGTGATGTCCTGGAATAAGCACCGAGATTCGACCTCCACGGCCCGATTACATCGTCCCCGCGGAAGGTGGGCCACAGCAGCCGTCTCATACAACAGCAGATTGGAAGATGACGCGAGTGTGTTTCAAAACATTTCAGCAGTCGCAAAGTGAGGATGCACGCGTATTGCAATGGAGATGGTACCAATGAGAAGGCGAGATCTCGTTAATCTTGTGTCAGTAAGCGAGTACTAAGTATTAGTATGTATGTAGTGGTAGTATGCATACTCGATTGGTAGCAAATCAACTGCCGTCGTATACTATTATTACGCATGAAATATCCTCCGCATTGGCCAGCATCGGCATCGAATCACATGGGGATCTGCCGTGCTGGTTCTACCGCACCAGTAAGTAAGTACTTAAGCGGTCAGCTTTTCAGGGACAACAGGGTTGTAAATAGAGCATGCATTTTATGATTCGCAGATTAGTGTTCAGAGCCGCATCTCTGTACAGGGTAGGGAAATGTGTAATTTTGCGCACGTAAGTATGGTATGTAGAAAGCAAAATGCGGTAGGGGTTTGGGGTTGGCATTGGAAGTCTTGAGTTGTGGAAGCCCTCGCAGCATCTGCCGAGGAAATAGTAGATGGGTGGCGGGGGGCGGGAACGGGTAAATCCCCCAACGAACTCGTCATGGTATTTCCGTATTAGGAACCTTTCGAAGAGAACACACAACCACGGCTGACGCTACGCGGCGACGCTAGGTAGAAGACTACGGTTCAATCGAATGCGCCATGGCAAACTTGCATCACAAAGTCGTTCGCTCCTCCGCCTTCGTCCGTCTCTTTCTGACTGTCATATTGCCCTGACGCCCGCCTACAAAATTTGATGTCCTGATCTCATCTCGTCTCTGGTAACGACATTAGCGAGTAGGGTTGTGGATATATGCGGGATTAAGCGATTAAGGGATGGAAAGCGAAGGTTGGGTTGACGCGTGGTCCAGAGTATTATTGCATGACGATTCCCTTTCCCAAGTGTTTCAGACAGGGAAGCCGCGGGTCCGCGGAAGCCAAAGCCACCACATTCAGTTTTGGCGCTGAGAAAAAAAAATACATGTGGCAACAGGCTATCCAGCTCAATTCTCATGCACTCTGGGAATGCTAATGCTTAGCAGGTCATTTGAACATTACATTGTCAGCGCGGAAACGGTATTGAATAAGGTTGCGCCTTTGATTACATGTTTGCCCGGCTACTTTGACGGCTCTAACCGTGAGACCCTGACTAATATCGCTACTCTATTTGCTCTGACTACCAGCTAATCTAACTGTACTCTTTGCGAGGTATATTATGTGATGCTCCCATGTTGCTCACGTCACCCAGCGCCAGCTCAAAACGGAGATTCCTAACATCATAGCATTAATCAGACGGGCTACATCACAGATTCTGTGGGCCAGCCAAAGTAAATTTCTCCATATAGCAGAAGCCTTTCAAAGAGATTCCATATACAGCTATTGATAGTCGTATAGTCAGCTTCATGGTCTTGGTTTGTGGTTTCCTTTAGGATTTGTGGCGCATTTGAACCGGATCAAGTCGTCATAACCCCCTTGAACGGTCGACATCGGCAATCCGGCAGACGGGTTTTTGACCAATGCCAAGGCCTCTACTACTTGAGCTTCATCGGTCATCATGCACGAGTCTCTGGTGGCGCAAGGTAATGCTTAGTCACTAACCGATCAGTGTAATGACGCCTTCGCAAGACTGTTACTACCTCTCTAATTACATCGACCTTTTCCTACGAGGCTGGAGCGGTTGTTCATTCATCATATGCTTGGTTCGAATGGTCGAACGAGTATTGATATATGCTGGCGGTCAATATTATTCGATAATACCCTTCGTCCCGTGATTAAGTAACTGGGTGAAGGGATCAGATAATATGGCCATTGACGCGTGGATTGCGCGCTCTTAAACCGACTACAATCAATATTTGATGTCCGTGGGATAAGAAGGCTGATGCAACCGAATGATTCACATCGATTGCACGTTCCAAACTGTGATGAGGCGAGTAGTGCCAGTTGGGTAAATGACGGGTGTCTAGTGTTGCCTATTGCTGCGGATGTATTCCCTCTTTGGGGTAGACATCCAAATCATATGGGGTTTGAACCGTTCGTACCATCAGCTTGAACGAAATAACTGTAGATTTTTGAAACTGAAACGAGAGTCGTGAAAGCTTGATACCAATGATACTCCCGATATGTTGAAAGAATTGTTCATTCATTGCTCTTTTTCACTGTGTATCAAAGAACACACGTAACATCTCGGGTTCGTTTTATCTTATTGCAGCAAGTCTTGGTCATCTCATTGTAGCTGTCTTTTCATCCTAGATGTGAGCTATGAAACAACTGAGTTGAATTCTCAAAGTTCATCTCGTAGATATCGCTATAGCCTAGGTGGTAGTGTTATCCGCTCTTATATATGTTCCTAAAGTCTCATGTTTGCTTGTACCAATGTTGCACATATGTCGCGTTTTAGAGCACATCAACAATCATTATCCTCCATCATTCTAAAGTCGATGATCTGTGAAGCCATATCAAGCCAAGACAATGAGAAAAAAACAGACTGCTCTCCATATTGAAACCCCAAATGCGCGTGTGATGATAATTGAGAATGTGTACTTGAAGGTAGGGCGACAAGGCGTATGATGTACGTGCTAAAATCAAGATTTATTTGAAATAAGTGAGCAGTCAAACAGGTCGATTAAGCTAACTCTTATCATCACGCTGTTTACACATGCTCGAACGCACACGTTGCTGTTACCAGTTGTACTTTCAGAAAGTTGTACCTATTACAATATTGCTTTATAGAGACAAAGAGCTACTAAAGAGCTATCGGTACGTTGCAGTAGTATCAAAACTACACAAATGATCGAACTTGAATATCCCGGATAGACGTGGCTATCACAGGTATCCAGCGGGATTGACAGCGCTTAAGAGCAATATGCGTACCTCTGGCCGGTTGAGGTGGTGTAGGGAATGCATCCATGCCATCCGGTGCACGAGTTCTAAAGCCACGATCAGCATGCTGTATGTGGGATATATCGACGAAGGAGTAACGTACGGGTCGGCAGTAATGAGCTTCGCTGGGGTCTCCAGTGCCACAGCTCTGAAGCACGGGATCGCAGAGCTACCAGAAAACTTGTTAGAAAGTAGCGAAAGAAGGATGTGTTTGGTGATGCTCTTACCCAGTCTTTACGGCTCACAAGCTCAGGCGCGGTTGCTGCAGCCTTCGCCAGTGCATCTTCTGCGCTGGTGGCAATGTCATCAAGGTTTTCGGGGACGGGGTTGGCGTTGACAAAGGCAGTAGCCAGAAGAGCGGCGAAAAATGGAAAATGCATGGTGGAAGATTGAGCAAGTGTTAAGTAGAGAAAGAATGACAGGCACTTGGGCAACTAGGTAGTTATGTAGTAATGCCTATTTGCTCTGGCGGGGATAGATAACGGGGAAATGACTAGACTTATGAAGTGGAGCGACCACTATAATTTCCTTCTATCAAGATGCCCTGTGCTTGCATCATGACAGCTACTGCGTTTTCGCCGACGGTGTTTTCTACTACATTATGCTTGAGGTTTCTTGGTTTTCCTGATCGCTCGGTGGAAAACTGCATCGCCTATGCATCACATGTAGATATGTTAAGTTGTCTTTATTTGCCTGCACCTTTCACATTTTCAAAGAACCTAAAACTTGATGGCTAGATAGTTCTGTTCACATAGGTGAAATTATCTGGCTGTGAAGGCAGGGGGCTGCGTAATCAATTTAGCAATTATCACTTTGGGACTAGAGTCGGAGTTTTACCCCTATAGTGAAGACTCAGAACACGAAGTATTTAGGCAAGGGATATCCTAGTTGGGAAAGGAACTCGTGGACACGAGTAAACGTCCAGTAACCCAGTTCTTACAACTAATAACAAATCAGGTAAACCAGTGCCTGCGCGTAAGCCTATTTGTCCTGCTTGGCTAGTTCTTGGATTTGTAATGTCACCTCACCTAAGCTTTTTTTTGAGAAAGTGCTATTCCCAATGCTGACATAGATGTGTTCAAGCTCGCTCGCACAGATCGCTAGACTTACCAGGATGGTAGGTGGTTGCGTCAGGAGTGAAGGTATGGCGTAGGGTTGTCACTAGTCCATATCAGGCTAGCGCGCCTTCAAACGCGCTTTCCCTCGCGCACTGTACATCAGGCTCCGACAGCCCCCTCCCCACCTCTTCTCCATCACAACCAGCGCGCCACCATCATACGCAACCCCCGCACATACACAGCTGGCCTCCACGATACGCATTCCTTCGAAACCTACAGACAGCGACTCCCCAGCACACACACCCCGTCAGCCGTTGATACACTGTCGTCTTTGCCTTCTCGTAGCCAGGCCTCAATACACCATCCTTGCGAATCTCACAAGGCCTTTGATGCGGTTTGCACAGTTTCGTCAGCCTAGCTCACGTGCTGGCTTTCAGCTTTCATAGGGGTGTCATTCAGACTGGCGCGAGTCGTGTGAACACGGCGTGGTCAGCGGTTCACGAGGTGGCTGGGAGAGCTTCCGCGACAGAGTCAGGGCTGCTCATTGCCAACTGTGCAATCAAAGCCCGGGTGGGTGGGTTCTTCTTCCCTGTGACATTTTAGGGCAAGAGGGGTATCGCTTTTTCTAGGTGAGTATATGTTAGAGTATAGAGCAGTTAATAAACAATGATCTACAACCTCGTCCGCAAAAGCGGCATTCCAGTACTGGCTTCTCTCGCGTCTGATGGTGCATCACAATGGCCATGTTGCTTAGCCGTCAAATATCTCGAGGCGCGCATGCAAGCCACTATCTCTTTACAATACTCACTGCCCATCCAAGGATTTGACGACAAGCAAACCTTCACCCTGCTTTACAATGCTGACAATATGGTGCCCGGCAACACTTCGGTCCAGCCCCCGCCCACCAGCCTTCCACAGGATCGGCTGCATGATATTGCTCGGCAGGGAAATGCCCATTTGAAAATGTTGTCTTTGACCCTCAAGGCACCTTGCCCTGTCTGGTGTCCTCCATCGCCCGGCCCAATATTGCCCAAGGAAGGGTTTGGTGCCGCCTTTGCTCAGTTCGTTAAGCTCGCCAGTGCAACTCAGGTACATGTCTTATTTGACTGGAACTGGCTACACAAGGACCATTGTGCTCGATTCGAGCACCTCATCAGACATCCGGAACAGCTGACTGGGATACCGGTGGATCCGTCCTCGGCAAGACATTTCAAGCTAGCAGACTGGTCCGTCTTGGGTCCAGTAGATGATATCGCGTCCGAAGCACCTCCCCCATATATCGAAGCGTCTAAGAAACGTCCAAGACAAGGTAAGTCTACTCTTGCCTGGATCCCATTTCGACTTGCCATTAAGATGGATGTATAGTCACAACCAGCCCATCACCTGAACCATCTTTAAAGCGCGCGCTGCTTTCGTCTACGACATGTCTGTTATCATCACCGACCGAAAAGGCGTCAGCAGTATCGGTGTTAGCGCCGAGCCCCAAACTACGTTCGCCCTCTCCCATCACCAGCGCGCCTGATTTCCAAGATGCAATCAAGAACACACTGGAAACATTGCTCCCGCAAATGCTTCAGGCGATACTACCAGATATGCTCCCACGTGTGCTTGTTGCCCCTGACTCATCATCACCTTCATCATCACTATCCCGGTCAACTCCAAAGCCAAAACCAAAAACAATATCCTCACTCGGCAACTTGCTAAATGCCCACGCAACCGCTCGCCTCGAAGCTCAGCTTGAAGAAATATACGCCCAGACACTCGACCATGCATCGCAACTTCGCAGCGCGGCTGACGATGAGTTTCACGAGCTACTTGAGGAGCAGAAGCTTGATGTGGTCATGATCAAGGAAGACAGCATCACGGAGCTGAATCGTGTGTTTGACGATAAGCTGGCTGAGTTCAAGGAGAGCACGGCGGACATGGTGGATGAGATGGAGAAACGTGTTGAGTTGGTTTATGCAGATGTTTGTGAGAGGTTGGATGAGCTGGCGAGCAAGAAGGTCGAGATTCAAAGTCGGCGAGGAGACGTTGAGAAGACCAAGGACTTTCTCAACGTCACAAGATCAAGAGATATACAAGATCGAGGTCGACGGGCAGTTTCATTACCATTATGAATTCTAGGAAAGGTTGCAAGATTCAATGCTCTGATATTGATGTTTGAATTTGCGCCATGTTATATACCCAGCGCTTGTAAATGATATCATGTATCGCCGAACTCGTCCATCTGTATGCGCAGGGCTTCTTGCTCCCAAAAGTCCGCAAGCTGCTCTGCACCCCGGCGTCCACCAAATCGAACCTCGCCATTGTCCATGTCACCTTCAGCCCCATCCATGAGGCGCTGGAAACAATCTTTGAATTTTGGATCGTTGAAGTGGGCATATGGATGATCTGGATTAAGCCAGGCACTGCATAGATAGCAAAAGTGCGTTTTGCATTGAGCACATGTGATGTGATTACATCCGTACTTTGACATGTGTCAGCAGGGGTCGCTGTAGACATAGGAAGGTAAAGGCTACTTACAGATTTCTGGCAAGGCACAGAGCAATACGGACATGGTGTTGTGTTCCTTGCGATGAAATTGAGTGATGCTTGGTCCTCCTCGGTGAGCTGAGTGGCATCTCGGGGCTCACAGCGCACAAAGTCTCCATGCCAAGAGGCAAGGCAGACAACGCAGAAGGCAAGATTGCAGTCTTCGCAGACTTGCAGCCTTTCCATGCCCCTCACACCCACGCGGCGCTTTTCGGGCCCAGTATCGGCAGTTGTCGAGATCTCTGGGGTCTCGTCAGGTTCCGAGTCAGAGTCGTCCATTTGACCGACATCGGTAATTTTGGGGTATTTCTCCGTACGCATGGCGCCCTGGCACCAAGATCGAGGACAGAAGACAATGATCGGGTCAGATTCAATCTTCTTCTTTCGCTTGAGCTTGGCGTAGCGTTCGACTTGACTACGTGATATGGGTATTTGTAGCAGTTCCTTTGGAGACAGGAGCCGATCTTTCTTTTTGGCACTACTACCACACTCGGTGGACATGCACTTGACGTTGTGGACATGGCCTTCGTTGATACAATTGTTGTAGTAGTCCTGCAGACAGGCGATGCAGAAGACGTGACTACAACGAGCCATACGATAACAGGCAGACCCCTTCTTGGGTTCCAAGCACACTTGGCAATCGAAAGTCTCCTTGTCGAATAGCTCTTTCTTCATGTGCCGAGCATAGTCTACCATGTGCTTTTGAACGCTTGACGGAAGTGTGAGTCCTTGCAGACCAAAAGCAGTCTCGGCCTGCTCCTGCAAAGAGCTGATATAGGCAAACAAGACGGTATCTCCTCCATAATCATGCCATAGCGATTGCGCCTCAGCAGATAATGCAGCCTGGATGTCCTCGGGTAGCCATGACGGCGAAGTTGATGGTTTTACAACCGGTGGAACTTGGGCGGGGTATCCTTCTGGTAAGGAAATATCGAGGCGTAAGGGCGGGAGGTAGGCGAGTCGCTCAACATGTTGCGAAGGCTCGAAGGTCGTGGGAATGGGCTTGGTCGGGGCGATGAGCAGTTGGAGAGTGGCCTGGTAGGGATTGTCTTCTTGAATGACTAGCTCTGGGTAGATTGACTGCAGGGTGATGAGCTCTTCGGCGCGCTCATCGTCCGGAGTGGCTTCGGCCATGTGGGTGGCGTTGGGCGGGTTGGTGTCGCGGGCGCGGGGGGAGAACGGTAGGTTGATATGGCGAATGGGTGGCGGCGGAGGCGGCGGCAGCTACCGATAGCGCATAAAGGAAAAAGAGGCCTTGAAGAGGCCCATGGTGAAGGGGGAGAAGAACGGACAGGTCTCAGATACTAGATGCATCTATCGGCAGTAGAGTCAATTGTCAGTGAGAGCCGCAAAGGGCGGGGCGTGGCGTACCTTGCCCGCGCCGCGCCAAGTCTTGAAGGGCGTCGCTGGGCATGTGCATGCGCCACCATCACCCAGAGTCTGTCGTCATTACTCACATCGTCGCTGCATTATGGACGACCCTCCGCTTGCCTCGCTCTCTCTCACCCATGTGTACTATGTTGGTACATCCGCAAAGCCACTGCCCGCACACTGCTGACGCTCGTAGGACCCGGCCGACCGCGTTTCGTGGGTGTGCGCATGGCTGGCTCTCGTCCCCCAGGCCCTGTGCGTCGTCTATGCGACGCTGATATGGTCGAACCGCGAGATTGAGATATTCCTTATGTTTGCCGGCCAAATGGCGTGCGAGGCCCTGAATTGGGTGCTCAAGAGATATATCAAGGAAGAGCGACCAAGGCGTACGACCACACGACTCCAACCCATCAACCCAAATAGCATCCTGTACTAACGGCTACACAACCAGAAATGCATAAGTATAACAAAGGCTATGGAATGCCCTCGTCGCATGCCCAGTTTGTCTCCTTCTTCTCCGTCACCCTCGCCCTCTTCCTCATCTTCCGTCACGTCCCGCATCCTACAGAAACCCACACTCCCTTCTCCTTGGGCGGCCGCATCGTTCTCTCACTCCTCGCCTTGCTTGGCGCCGCTGCTGTAGCCATCAGTCGCATATACTTGAGCTACCACACCCCCAAGCAGGTCATGGTTGGCTGTGCCGCCGGCGCCATATTTGCTCTGGTCTGGTTCGCATTCACGACCTACCTGCGGAGAGCAGGTTGGATTGAGTGGGCGCTCGATACATGGCTTTTGAGGGTACTCCGTGTCCGAGACCTCGTCATCCAGGAGGACTTGGTCGATTCTGGCTGGGCGCGGTGGGAGGACAGAAGAAAGCGACAGCTGTTCCAGACTCAAGCAAAGAAGGCTAGGTGATTCTTGATGCTTCATCATTCTCCTCGAGACAAGATGTTCCTCCACCGAGCTGCCGTCGTCCAGATATCATTTTACCCCTGTAATACCAATTTGACAATCTCCACCCGCCTCCAGGTCCTCTGGCAGGCTCAGCTCTTGCGCATTCCCAAAACTCTTTACCAATCTCTAGTCGCCGTACCTTGCACATATCGTCTTACTAACTCTGTAGTCTCTGTGTTGCTATGCAGTAGCGAATCTGTGTCTAAGCCCTCTACGCGCAATGCCCTTGAGCATCAGGGCTTTGTTTGGACCAAATGCCTGTCAGCCATCCAATCTTGCTTGCAGGTTTGCCTACGAAAACGCCTAGTGGACTGAGGATCCTGCTGCGAGAAAAATTTCAAATCGAACTGAGGCCTCAAGTCATATGTATCTACCTTAGGCGAACAAGTTTCGGCAGAGTTCACTGATGTAACTGGAGGGTCCCTGAACGGGTGGTTTGCACTCTCTACCGTAGATTTGGCAGAAGTAGTGGTTGTTTTCCCGAGCCAACACGTTCCTTGACCTCGCCAGCAAAGGACTGTTCTGGCATTTCCTTGCCCAATAACGTCAAAGCCATCTTTGCTTGTCTCGATGGTAGGAGCGTTGGGATCTTCCCTCCAAATTTCAATGCCATCGAATGTGTCCAAGTCTCTGGCAACCCTAGCCACACGTAGCGCTTGCTCAATATCAGCGACTTCTAGCAGCACCACTTTGGCCTCCACATCTCGTGCAGTTTTGAGCAGACGCGGATAGAACATATCGCCTTGCTGCGTGTCTGTGTGTTTGTCCTTGAATGGTGGCACCAGTGCAAGCTTCGGTTCGAAATTACGCACTGAGCGCATTGTAGTTTTCCAAAAGGCAGAAGGTGAGATGTAAGGTGGGTTGGAAATGACTATGTCCCAGTAAACCGGCTGCGAAGCATAGTTGAGGGCTGCCTTTAACGGAAGGACTTGTCCGTATTCATCCACGAACGGGTCAATCAGTACGTCGGCTTTTAGAAAGTGAGCTTGCCCGTTCGGCTTGAGTTGTCGGTCCTTGGACAGCCTTTGTAGGTTGTGTTTAGCCAGAGATAGCGCTTTGTCACACACGTCGACGCCGAGAAGGCGCAAGTTGATATCGCTGTGTGCAGATAATAATTCATGTTGGAAGAGAAGGGGGATACAGCCGGTACCAGTGCAGAGATCAAGAAGACGCAATTCTGGTGGAAGATTTTTCGAGTTGCGAAGAAGACTAACAAGATGCGTGACTGACGCCGCTGTGTCAGGTCTGGTGCAGAAATCAGTCAAAGCTGTTAAGACTGTGAACTTCTCATACCTTGGAATCAGTACGCCAGGTTTGCATCGTATTTCCAGATCACCAAAGTGTTCTGTGCCGAGTATATACTGGAGTGGCTTTCCTCGTGACCTTTCGTGAACCAATTGGCGCAGCAAAGCTCTCTTGGCCCACTTGTCTGGCCTGGCGCGTCGTGTTTGGCCAACTTCCTCGACGTGTTCGCGCAGCCATCGCAACTCATTCTGCGCAGCCTGCAGGTCACGGCAAGGTGCGAGAAGAGCGGGAAGAAGAGAATCTATCGCGCGCGCCTTGCGGATAAGTGACGTTGATATGCGCGGCATGGTCTAAGAGAGTGTACTTACGGTGGGGTGGGGAGAGACCAACTTCCTTTCCTTCCTCTTGTGCCTCAATCCTCGTTCTCAAACATCATGCCATGTAATCAAGCTTTGATTTCCCCGCTCAACCACCGGCCGACCCACAATCCCCAACGCCACTATTGCCCTACCCCATACTTTACGAGCTTATCTTGACTCGATTCTCCTGCCGAACGGAATGTTGATACCGAGTGTCGTTGTCACGAGCAGCCACGTTTCTTGGCTGCTTCATCCGGTTGAACACTTCCAGACCTCGGGCATCGAAATGGGGAAACCTCTGTTTTGTTGGCATGCAAAGCATACATGGCCACATTGAACAGCCAAATCACTTGGCAACTAAGATAACAAGGTCAATATAGCTCTCAGTCAAGCGTACGATACAGAAACCAATGGGCTACGCATAATCTATCCATAGAGCAACCAACCTCCTACATCCACTCCTCTCTACGTCTAGATGACATCCATCGCCTAGTACTCCCTTCATTGGCTGTGCTCGAGCGGAGAGTATTCGCCTTGTGGGGTTGTGTAACTTAGGTGTCCTGCGGAGCATGCCTTGGCAATACAATGCCGGCAGATGGGTAAATCGCTGTGCATTCATCCCAGTCTGGGCAAATGATCTTCAACGTATAAGGCAACCATGTCTTTCCTCAATTATGCACTGATGAACCTGCTGGCTCGGTCTCACATCACTTCGTTACATCCGTTACCATGTCTGACAATCATGGATACACATGGCGCGACCATACGCATCTGTTCATCGCCTGTGGCGTTGTTATCTTGAGCCCGTTTCAGTACGGATTCGACTTTGGCATGATTGGAGGGTTGCAAGCAATGGTTGGCTTTCTAGAGGTACATGATTGTTAAAGAATGTCTGCTAGAGAATTCGTCATTGACCGTCCGTCCAGGTATTTGGTTATCGTACAAACAAGACACCCACAGGATGGAATATCCAGACAGAGAGACAGCAGCTCATCTCCTCACTCATGACGCTTGGAGCTTTTATCAGCTCCGCTACTGCTGGTGTCCCTTCTACTCGTTTCGGTCGCCGTATGTGCCTCGCTCTAGCATGCGTCACTTGCTGCATCGCCAATGTCTTGATGATGGCCACCGAAAACATTGGAGCGCTCTACGCTGGACGTTTGATTATCGGACTGGCAAATGGCTACTTTATGACTTTCTCGCAACTGTATCTACAGGAGAGTAGCACAGCTGAACTGCGCGGCGTGTTCCTCACTGGCTTCAACTTCTTTGTTTCATTTGGAACACTGATTGGAACCATTGTCGACTGGGCTACAGCCAAGCGCCCAGATAAATCCGCTTACCTCATTCCACTTGGACTCATATACATCTTTCCGCTTATCATCCTCTGTACCGTATGGTTCATCCCAGAGAGTCCCAGATGGCTCATCCTACAGGGACGGTTTGAAGAAGGTGTCAAGGCGCTCGAGTGGCTCCGCCCAAAGCGCCATGATTCCCGCGCAGAGGCCTCCGCAATTCTTGCAGCAATTGAAAAGGAAAAAGAAACAAGCTCTGGCATAGGATGGATCGACATGTTCAGCAATCCCGTCGACCGACGCCGTACCTTTCTCGCAGTCTTTGCAGTCCTCCTCCAAGCAGCCTCAGGCTCCATGTTCATTATCGGTAAGCATCCATGAACAAGAGACCTTAGCTGTATATGAAATCTCCATACTAAGAATCCGCTAGCATACAAAGCATACTTCCTCCAAATGGCCAAAGTCACCGATCCCTTCGCAATGTCCAACGTCCTCTCCGCCATCAGCATAATTGCTTTCATCGCAAACTCGCTCATCGTCGTACGCTACGGTAATCGCAGAGTCCTTCTCATGACGGGCCTCCTCATCTGCGGCATCCTGCAACTCATCATCGCAGTCGTGTACCACAAGGCACCTAACGCCAAGGCTACGGGGAAAGTCACCGTCGGGCTCACCGCTATATACATGTTTAGCTACAACGGCATGATATCAACGTATGCATGGTTATCCGGCGGTGAACTGCCTACCCAGCGCCTCCGCTCCCACACGTTCGGTCTCGCTGCCAGTGCCGGGTTCGTCGGCGCATGGCTCACTACATTCACAGCCCCGTACTTTATCAATCCTGCAGCCATGAATTGGGGTCCCAGATACGGTTTCATCTGGGCGCCTTCATGCGCAATCGCGGCAACATGGGTGTTTTTCTTCCTGCCTGAAGTCAAGAATCGGACGTTGGAGGAGATTGACGAGATGTTTGAGGCTAGGCTGAGTGCGAGGCAGTTTGCCAAGTATCGGTGTGTGGGGATTGCGAGGGGTGAGGAGGAGGATGGGAAGACGAGGAGTAGTGGCGAGGTGGAGAAGGAGATTAGTGTTTTGCAGAGTGAGAAGGTTGCTGTTGAGACGGCTGTGTCGAGGGATTAGGTGGGTGTTGGGTGGAAAGAAAAGGAAGACGTCTGGAGAATATACCTCTTCATCATATAGTAAGGCACAATACAATGTACCGTCGCTGTACGTACTATCTACAAACAGAAACAATCAAAAACTTTATCAACCCTGATCCGTACGCATCGTCCAACTGGACTAATCTACAACACACATCACAACATACCGCCACTCTAGCATCCCTCACCCAACTATCCGCTCAATAACATACCTTCCATTCCCCTCCTTCTTCTGCACCACCTTCCGAATCCCCAATCCCCACCCCTGCGTCCCCTTCTCCCCGACAAGACTCATCTCAACCTCGCACTCACGTCTCTCCTTGGACAACTCCACAATCTTGCCCTTGGGCTTACTCGCCTGCAGCAACGGCGTGTTGAGTGCAATATTGATAATCTGGGGCCGTGTAACGGGCGTCAGGGGATGCATTCGCGTTTTTGGTGTTTTGCTGCCGTGAACGGTGGATGTGGCTACGCGTTGGAGGTGCGAGTAGATTATGTAGCCTGGCATTTTGGCGGGCGGTGTGCGCGCGAGGAGGGAGGAGGGGTGCAGGAAGACGTATTTGGAGTGGGGATCGTCGTCGGAGCGGTCGGTTTGCGAGGAGAAGAGGGTTACGTAGGGGACGTCGATTGCGGTCTTTGGTTTCCTGGGTAGATCCGGGGGGATGGGGGCGAGGTCGGCGCGCATGGCGATTTGGTCGATGAAGCCAGCGGCGCAGATTTGGGTGAGGATGTTGATGTTGCGCTCGGATGGGGCTGGGAGTTTGGGCTCGTAGCCGCCGATTGCTGTGGGTCGGTGGGCGCGGACGATGTTGGTGAGTTGGTGGCGGAGTTGACTGGCTTCGTTCATGGCTTTTGCGTTGAGGAACATGTCTTCGCAGAATCTTCGCGAGTTGGGCTCGTATGCGTAGGCACAGATTGCGTTGCTAAGCTTGATGCAGTCGCTTTGCTTTGCGTTGATACTCATCTTCGCTTGTGCGGCGTTGTAGGCTTTCCGTAGTCGTGAGCGTTCTTCGGCCTCAATGTTGTCCTGCTCAGTGCGAGTGGCATCCGGATCTTTGGTTGGTTCCCGCAGTCCGAGTTTGTTCTCTGGTATGATGAGTTCTGGCACTGACAAGGCGGCCACCAATGCAATGGTCTCTGCCACAAGGTTCTGCGCAACACCCATTGCAACCATACGAGCGAATCGTGGGTTGAGGGGATACAAAGAAAGTTCATGGCCAAGCTTAGTGACTTTTCCATCGATTGACAGTGCACCCAGGTATGAAAGTAGGTTCTCTGCCTTTTGTAGGCTTCCGCGATCCGGTGGTGTTGGGAACGGGAAATTGACGACAGGAGCACCCATGCTCTTCAGCTGTAGCACCACACCCTCTAAAGGTGTTCTTGATATTTCTGGCGCGGCATACTCTTCAAAATCACGCTCGAATACTGCGGAGGAGTACAGGCGGTAACAGTGACCAGGTCCAGTACGACCTGCACGACCAGAACGCTGGTTTGCACTGGCTTTGCTGATCCACCCGACCTCGAAGCTCTGCACACCTGTAACCGGATCGTATTTCTTTTCTTTTGCTCTTCCGCAATCAAAGACGTAGCGAATACCAGGTATTGTCAAACTGGTCTCGGCAACGTTTGTGGCGAGAACGATAAGACGAGAGCCATCTGGAGGTGACTCGAAGACGCGTAGTTGTTGATTGGTAGGCAATTGTGAATAAAGCGGCAGAACGTGAACATTCATGACGGTTTCTTCGGGCTTCTCATCTTCAATCTCAAATTCTTTGTCGTCCTCGTCATCAAGGCCCATTATTATTGAACCTTCGGAGTCTGAGCCATCATCGTCTTCGTAATCCGTGGACTTGGTCGGTGCGCCCAGTTCAATGTCCTCGACTTCCAATGGTGTTTCTGCTGGAGAAACAACAACCTTGCCAGCTTTGATCTCTTTGCCTTGAGTAGATGAGAAGACTTGCTTCAATTGCTTCGCTAACTGGGAGATCTCATTTTGACCGGTAAGGAATACGAGCATGCCGCCCTTGGGCAGCTTCCGGTGACCCCTACACACTTTTCGGTACATTTCCTCGACGTAGTCTCGTTGAGTACGGCGCGCAAAGTGGTTCACGACGGTATATTGGCGACCTTCGGCCTTGATGAGCGGTGGAGGTTCACTTCTAAACAAGCGCTTGTTTTCTGTAAAATCTGATATGCGCAGAGTAGCCGACATGATGATCAGTTTCAGGGGCTTGTTTTTGGGATCATCTTTCACCATCTGAGCTCGGAGGTCAACTATTCTGCTGAGCATGCCGATGAGAATGTCGGTGTTGACGCTACGCTCGTGGGCCTCATCAATGACGATAGCAGAATACTTTGTCAGGACGAAGTCTTGAGTTATCTCTCGTAGCAAGACACCATCAGTCATGAACTTGATAGCAGTTTTAGCGCTTGTGGTTGTATCAAAGCGAATCTGATATGCCACTTTAGAGCCTTGATCTCCAAGCTCATCGCCAACACGTTTTGCCATGCTGACAGCAGCTACACGGCGTGGTTGAGTGACCCCAATCATGCCCGGTGTTGGTCCATCGGGTGCTCCGTAGCCTGACTCAAGAAGAAATTGCGGCACTTGGGTAGTTTTACCGCTACCAGTGGAACCCCAAACTACAACTACGTCGTTATTATGTATCGCCTCCATGATCTTTTGTTCTTCAGCCACAATCGGTAACTGCATTCTGGACTCTTGTATTTCGGGCGATCGATCGACGTTTACGCTGAATGCTTTGCGAGTAGCATCGGTCTTCGTTTTCGTTTCGAGTTCAGGAGGCAGAGGATCTTGCTCGGAAGCTCGAGGTTTGAAGTTCGCTGGGGTGGGCGCGAAAGAGAGCTGATTAGTCGGAGTGAAGCCTACTTGTTCGTTTCTTTGCTGTGTTGCCCAAGCCTTGAAAGCCGATGTTCTTTCCTTCTTTGCAAGCTTTTTATCTTCATCAAGACTGGTGTCGCTTTCATCGCTCTCGTCTTCGGAGTCCTCTTCCGAACCGCTTTGCTCTGATCCCGAAGAGTCGCCTTCCTCAGATTCAGAGCCTTCATCTTCAGACTCCGCACTGGAGTTCGCTGAATCGTCCTCCTCCATCTGGCTGTCGTTGTCCTCGGCTGAACTGAAACCCTCCCATTCCACTTCTTCTTCAATTGCAACTGGTTTTGTGGTTTGGCCCTTGCGACGCTTTCGAACTTGTATTACTGGCTTGCCTGAATCATCCAGTTCCAGAGGTCTCTTCAATCCACTTCCAAATAGGCCGTTTGTCTGTTGCGTTGCTGCAGGGATCCCGGATGTGGGCTGGCGGGTGTCGGATTCCGGATCAGATGGCGATGGTGACTGCGCGCGTTCTCGTGATACCTCGTTCTCATGCGCTGGTTTTGCTGCGGCCTGCCGCGCAGTAGATTTGGGTATGGAGTGCGATACAGGCGCCGATACCTGCTCTGCTTCGTCTGAGCTGTCGTCCTCAATGTCTCTGATTTCGCGCTCTTCCAGCAGCAATTCCTGGTTTTTGTCCACATCTATCCCAGCCCGGCTTTCGGCAAGCGCACGCCTCAAAGCTTCCCTCTTTGTATCCGCTCCTCGACCAAGCTTCTTTGAACTCTGGAATAAGGTAGTGTCGACTTTCTGGGCGGCAAGCTTTTTCAGCAGCTCGAGACTTTCTTCTTTCTTGAGTTTAGTATCCTGGGTGGGTTAGTCGTGCTTGTAAGTGCGAAGCAAATGGAGCGCAAAGTGACATACAATGTATTTTTCGAGGCGCTTTTTCTTTTTGTTGGACATTTTGCCCTGCGCTTCGCGCGTGAGCTCTTCCTTCAGCGCTGCCTTCTTCGCATTGCGTTCCTGCTGCTCAACAGGCAATATCTCAGCCGTGTTGGCATCGTCGACGCCATTGCTTGGGTCGGCAGCATTTTTGCGACGGGCAAGGACTTTGTGCTTTCGCTGCCGGGGCACAAACTTGGGCATGCTGGGCGGGTGATGGCGGCGAAGTCTGCTCGCATGCGCCCGAAATAATTTTGGCGGGGATCAGACGCTAGCGTGGACTCTCCGCATCACTCCCGCGGCCAGTAACAGACGCATCCAGGTGGGCCGACTCTTCTTCTCGCCATCACCCCACTTCAGCGCGACAGACATCATAGCAATATGCCAGCAGCAATCAATTCAGACGACTACGTCGTGACACCAGCGGCTTATCCTGCGCATACCAAGATAGCGAGTGTGACGATAAATGGGTTAGAAACGACGGCAACGGCCGTCAGCTTTGCCGACAAGATACTCATCACGGTTACGCAGCAAGGCCGACTAGCGCACTGGGTACAAAAAGAAACGGTAGACTACATAGACTAGAGCAGGAGTCGCTAAGTACAAGAATGCAGGTACACGTTCCGCTTGATATCACTGCGACGGATGCGTCGGTCACGTCCAATTCCTACCTCGAGCGCGACGAGGAGGATCCAAATTCGGACCTCTTGCCTATGCACCAACTAACGGCTACAACTATACTGGGCGGCACTATACCAGAACTTGACACGCTTGGGCAAACGCTTGCAACCCAAGTCGCTAGCGCAATCAAGCAACGCGACGAACGAGAGTCAAGGATGGTCGTGTTGGGCATGGGCTTAGATAAGACTATGGTTGGGAGAGGAGCGTTCAGTGAACTGGTTGGACTGGTCCTGGGAATAATATGAGGTGTTGTATATTTTGAGCTGCTCTGGTCTGGACCAGTAGTCCTGACAATGCTCGATGTGATTTCTATGATATCCCCGAAGCAAATTGCTTCTCTACCAAAACCCGGGTATGTCCTTGGTAATGATCTTTTAAATTCCTGCCTCATAACTGTCGTCCCACATGTGCGCCATTCCCATGCTAACCCAATTGTAGTTCCGCAACGCCGCCCAATGCAAAGCATGCGCGACCTAGACTATACATTGTCGCGCAGCTTATTGATCAGCAAATCTACTGATTCCATGTCGTTGGCATCCAACTTTTCTTCAGGCTTGAGTTCGGCGGGCACATGCTCGAGAGCGGCGTCGAGTCCTGCCTGGAAATTTCGGACCGACGAGGACAGGGCGAAAATGGCCTTTTTGCGGACTTTCTTATCGGCATCTGAAGTGGCCATCCGAACCAATGTGGGAATAGCGCCGACAACAAGAAGCTGCAGCATATTAGTATTGTGCAAATTGGGTTGTGCGTCAAGGACTACTTACTCGCTCTTGCGTCCTGATATTGTTTTGTACAGCCGTGCCGCAACACCATGCAGCGTAGAATCGCAGTTCGGATTCCTTGTTCTCGAGTTGTTCGACAAGTGGTGTCCACAGGCCCAAGCTCTCGATGTTGTTCGCATTGTCCAGGTTCTCGATGAGCTGCTCGAAGTTGTCGAATGCGGTCGTCCTGTGCTCGAGTTCTGCTTCCTCATTCTGGATGACCTGCATGCTCTCTTGCATGAGTTGGGCGTCTGATGGGCCTGACATGCCGGTGACGAGGCGTTGCAGGGCCTCGACATCGATCTGGGCGGGCCGCTGGTCTGCAGCGGCTCCGTCGGTGCGTGAGGCTTCGGAGTTTTGGATGCCCCACTTGAGGAGGTTGTTTAGTCCGGGGTCGTTCATGATGTTGGATGTGCGTGTGAAATTGGGGTGGAAGTGTCTGTGTGGAGGAGGGCTGGGGTTTGGCTGTGGGCTATGGTGTTGAAATAATTTTGGCGGGACATATGACGCTGATCACGCCGGGGGCGTTGCGATGGGGCCAGCAGCTTCGGGCGGCTTCGATGGACTGCAGCAGTCGAACAGCACCCCTGCACGGCGCTGCGCATGTCGCGAGACTCTTTGACGTGTCTTGCCACGGCTTGATGGGCTTTTGCGAGACTGTCTGGCATCAAGATGGGCATTTACAGTGATGCAATGGCAGGCACGAACACTGAGGGGGCAGCGCGGCGACGTCTGCTCGTTTGGCCAGGTACGCAGGTGGGCGGACTGGGCCGACCCACCGTACCCCTCATTGCACGTGACGTCCGGATCAGGGCTAGGCGGGGGGCAGGGCGCGAGAGGACGGCGAGAGGACGAGTTGGCGGTGAGCAAGCCGCGGATGGCGGATGGCGGATGGCGGATGAAATGGCAACACTACTTACAGCAATGCAGGCTGGGTGGGTGGCTGGGGGCTGCTGAGTGTGCCATGCCCAACTCGGGCGTGCATTACCAGCACAATGCCGTCGAGAACACGTAGTGCGTAGTGGAGAGTCGATATGCTCGCCCTGCGCCAAGCCCTTTGCAGCGCTGCCTGGCGGTCTGGTACAGTTGACGTGCGTGGACAACACCTCCCGTTTGCTGTGGCGGAACGGCTTGCGTGTGCTGCTCACTGTTGCTACCCGCCTCCAGAAGCATCAATTGTGCAGCCTAGAGTTGATGGGCGCCGTCTATAAGTTGGCCGCCGTACTGCTCGCCCACGCTGGCCACTCAGTCCTCCGTAGAATTATACACAATCCCCCTTTGGGATCAGTCCGCTCGTGCAAAGCTCTCCTTCGCTCCTGTGCTCCTGCCACCCCGCTAAATCTGGGCAAGGCCGACCCGCTTATTTAGCACACCCAGTTCTTGCCTCGCGCACAAGAACCTCACCCTCAACACCGCCGCCGAACTTGTAAGCTCCCCCGACTGTCCGCGTTCTCCCTGCTGCTGGCCCCGTACCTGCACCCCCAACTTCCTCTACTAACTCTCAATTGCTCCAGCGACGCTACACCCACACCCTTTCACAGCTCTACGTTTACTCTAATCTCACCCTAATCAGTCAATCATCATGGAGGGTAAGCAGCCTGAACCCCTACCTCCCTGCCCGATGCCCATCCCCAATGATCGTGCCATCTATCTCAATGAACTCTGCTAACATCTCTCTCCCCCTACAGAGGAAGTCGCAGCTCTCGTCATCGACAATGGGTGAGTTGGCATCCCACACACCCCAACACCTGCCATCCCTGCTGTGGAGGGGCTTTCCCTTGTGCCCAGCGCCTAAGCACTCTCCAAATCCCCCATCACAGCCTCCACAGCAGCGCGCGAGGTTACAGCTACACAAATGGACTTGAGCTGACATTCTACAGTTCGGGTATGTGCAAGGCCGGTTTCGCCGGTGATGATGCGCCCCGAGCAGTCTTCCGTAAGTACCTCAATCCACAGCTTGCTCCCCAACAGCTGCATCGAGAGCGTCACGCTGTGGCCTCTGGGTGTAGTATGGTGTGAAAACTCGATTCTGACAGCTTTGCAGCTTCCATTGTCGGCCGACCGCGTCACCATGGGTACGACCAACCTCCCCGTGTCCATCTCCCCCTCATACGCAAGCTGACAAAGACGCCAGTATCATGATTGGTATGGGCCAAAAGGACTCATATGTCGGTGATGAGGCACAGTCAAAGCGTGGTATCCTGACTCTGCGATACCCCATTGAGCACGGTGTCGTTACCAACTGGGATGACATGGAGAAGATTTGGCACCACACCTTCTACAACGAGCTGCGTGTCGCACCTGAGGAGCACCCCGTCCTCCTCACCGAGGCTCCCATCAACCCCAAGTCCAACCGTGAGAAGATGACACAGATTGTTTTCGAGACCTTCAATGCTCCCGCTTTCTACGTCTCTATCCAGGCCGTCCTGTCTCTGTACGCCTCTGGACGTACCACTGGTATCGTTCTCGACTCCGGTGACGGTGTCACTCACGTTGTCCCCATCTACGAGGGTTTCGCCCTTCCCCACGCCATCTCCCGTGTCGACATGGCTGGTCGTGACTTGACCGACTACCTCATGAAGATCTTGGCTGAGCGCGGTTACACCTTCTCCACCACTGCCGAGCGAGAAATCGTCCGTGACATCAAGGAGAAGCTCTGCTACGTCGCTCTCGACTTCGAGCAGGAGATCCAGACTGCCAGCCAGTCTTCCAGCTTGGAGAAGTCCTACGAGCTTCCTGACGGTCAGGTCATCACCATTGGAAACGAGCGTTTCCGTGCTCCTGAAGCTCTCTTCCAGCCTTCCGTCTTGGGTCTTGAAAGCGGCGGTATCCACGTCACCACTTTCAACTCCATCATGAAGTGCGATGTCGACGTCAGGAAAGACCTGTACGGCAACATTGTCATGGTACGTTACATTGTATGTAATCACGATAGCAGGCGGCTAACAAAAAAAAACTAGTCTGGTGGTACCACCATGTACCCCGGTATCTCCGACCGTATGCAGAAGGAAATCACCGCTCTCGCCCCATCCTCGATGAAGGTCAAGATCATCGCTCCTCCCGAGCGCAAGTACTCCGTCTGGATCGGTGGTTCCATTCTTGCTTCGCTCTCCACCTTCCAGCAGATGTGGATCTCAAAGCAGGAGTACGACGAGAGCGGTCCCTCCATCGTCCACCGCAAGTGCTTCTAAGGTATGAATCACCGCATTCTCGAACTACTTCATCGACTAACGTCTTTCTTGCCAGCGTGTTCCTGCGTACGGTTCTCGAGATCATGACAAGCCTACAGGCGGAGACATCTGCGTTTTGGCGCACTGTCATTCCTGGGTTTCACACATGGCGGTTGTCCACAAAATAGCACAGCGGGTCAATGATTGGGTGTTTGAGTTATGGAGCAGCTTGGGCTCACACATGAAGTGTAGTGCGGATCTTAAGGTTGTAGCTTAGAGCCTATGAACACTTTCGTATCCCTTACAGCTGGGTAACGCTCAAGTGATGTTTGTGATGTGCTCTGATGAGCCTATGGCCATGATGACATTTCTGAGACAGCCGTATTTGACATGACATTCCTGTAGAGACTGCCCATTAAAAGTCTGTCGTCTTGCGGTGTGCATAGTTTACCCAAGATGGGCAGGAGCTATTCCGACGTGTTTTGGTTTGGTGACTTTTGATGTTCATCGCGGCGCTAGCAGGGATATGTAGCTTTTTCGAGCCGTTAGTCGATTACCAAGCAACGCGTTGCTTCACAAAGAGCTTAAATGTGCCCTGTCATATTCAGTAAGTCCCCGCCTGTGAGCTTACTGCCATGCGCAAAGCTCTCTTCTCAAAGCCTTGTCCTACGTGCTAACCTGTCGTGTTCTAGAATAGAATCGTATGAACTATTACTGCATCATTCAGCCTTCTTCCAACCACTAGACTGTTTACCAAGCTTTATCTGCACTCGGCACGCGTTTGAACCATGTCGCCAACGCCTAGTATACGCAGTAGACCACCGTCTATTAGCACTGCTGACGAGAACACACCCCTCTTGTCATATGTGGAACCTACACCTATAGGAGAGAGCTCAGATGTTTCGGACCAGCCCTACGAGGACCAAGGCATTGACAACAGGAACGGGGATGAAGATCGCCCACTTCCAAAATTACAAGTCCTTCTGTTGTGTTATGCGGGCTGTTTAGGGTCTATTGCTTTCTTCTCAATCATTCCTTATATCAATTTCATGATTGAGAGAGTTGGCGGTATCGACAAGGAGGATGTTGGTTTCTATTCTGGGCTGGTTGAAAGTCTCTTCAGTGCAACTCAGATGTGTGTCATGATTCTGTGGGGCAAGGTAGGTGATTTTCGACTAGCTAATCAAAGAGAATATCCCCGCTGACCCAGCTCCCAGGCTTCTGATCGGTATGGGAGAAAGCCAGTGCTGGTTATATCGTTGTTTGGAATGACCCTTGCTACGTTACTATTCGGTCTAAGCCAATCTATATGGCAGCTGGCGTTGTTCAGATGTTTTGCTGGCGTCTTTGCTGGCACTGTTGTTATTGTCCGGGCCATGCTCTCTGAGAACAGCACCAAGCACACACAAGCTCGCGCCTTTAGCTTCTTTGCATTCTCCAACAATATGGGCATCTTTTTAGGCCCGCTAATTGGTAAGTGATGCAGAGACTAGCGCACGCTTATCATGTGCTAAGTAGACGACTACAGGTGGCGGACTCGAGCGACCAGCCGACAAGTTCCCCTCAACTTTTGGCAAGGTGCGGTTCTGGCACGACTATCCTTACGCTTTGCCAAACATCGTCATTGCGGCAATTGGCCTTTCTGCCGGCATTGCTACCCTGCTGTTTGTAAAGGAAACATTGCATACTCGTGGTGATTCGAAGAACCCAAAGCCCAGCATGTCGACTCGGGAGCTACTCAAGTACCCCGGTGTCGCACGTGTTCTTCTTATCTACAATTATGTCATGCTTTTGGCGTTCACTTTTACCGCCGTGTTTCCACTAGCCCAATACACACCTGTGGATATGGGCGGCCTTGGCTTCTCATCAGGTCTAATCGCCATGTTCACAGGGCTGAATGGGGTGTCTCAAGCTGTTTGGCTACTACTAGTCTTCCCGATGCTGCACAAGCGTTTCGGCACTGGTCGTTTGCTTTGGCTATGCGCGCTAGCTTGGCCTATCTTGTTCGTTTCCATTCCGATTTACAACGTCTTTCTGCGATATGGCAAGACTATTCTTTTCTGGGCTACTGCACCACCGATGCTGGCATTTTTCAGTGGAGTTTCAATGGCATTCAGTGAGTACCTCCGCATGCTACTAACCCAATTTCTGTCACTAATACACACACTAGCCTCGGTACAGCTTGCACTCAACGACATTTCACCCTCGCCTGAGACCCTTGGGACTCTGAACGCTATTGCAATTGCATTCCAGTGTGGTCTTCGATCCCTTGGTCCTGCCATAGCAACTAGCATATACGCTCTCAGTGTCAAGTACAACATCCTATGGGGCCAGCTATTTTGGCTTACCCAGGTTGCTTTGGTATTTGGGTTGTACGCGTTGTTGCCAATGCTTCCAGCCAAGGTTAGAGGCGCTCCGAGACCTAAGCTTGATAATGGTAGTTCGTAATGTTTCTGGGAATACAAAATGGCGGAGATTATCGCACCTTCGTGTGTAATTGTAGGAGCCAATATCGTTATAGGGAGGCAAAGTAGTGCCGTACGATACTACTTGGTTGATGACACCACACGTTCTATAGTCTTCACGTTAAAGTATTCACTACTTTACAATATAGATCTGGTTGAGAAATTGAAAAAAAAATAGGATTCAGTTATTCTCAATCGATCAAGTGGCTACCCTGTAATGCTGAAAACAAAGTCTTTTTATCTTACATGGTCGACCTTCCAACGCATCCCCTTGTCAGCCCAAAAGCTATAAGAAAATTAATCTTTACATCCCATTTCTATCCCGCATGCATATCCTCATCAAGCCTCTCTTCCCCATGCTTCATCACCAACACACAAAATTAACAATCATGAACCTCCAACTAGATAATTTTCACCGCCCAACACACTTACTTTTTTATCTTAGCCCCAAAACCACTGCCATTCAATCAGAAACTACTGATCCAATCCCTCACCGTGTTCATCCATATCATACTTGTCTGTCTCATTCAACATCGCAAAAATCAGTTGCATGACCAACCAAGCACCAGGACGTTCATACTATCGTACCTGATATCCTTTTAGCGACTGTCGATTAGGCAGATGGAAATGTTTCCGGGTCGGCGACCGATAGTCGTAACTGAGGTAACACAAAGCGAAATCCAGTGTTCAGCCCGATTGTTGATTTATCGTTTCGAAGCAGGGGTCGTGGTTGTGTTTTCGGGAGACACTGTGGAATGGGAGTGAGTGGAAGTGCGTTGTAGCTTCGTGAGACACTGCTATGCACTGATAGAAAATGGGTAGGTTGGTTGTGTAGTAATTTGGTATGTAGTTAAAGTTTTTTGTGGATGTAGGATGCGAGGATAACACTGCGGACTGGAAGTGAGCAGGAAAAAAAAGGGTTGTAGCTTAGGGAGACACTGCTATGTAGGGATGGAAATGAATGGATGGGGTGCGTTAGGTACGAAGTCTTCTGAATGGTGTATTCGAGGAAGAGAGTATGCTGGATGAGGAAAGTGGACTGTATTGTTTAGTTCAAGACATGGAGACGGGACGGGTTGACGTGGTGTTTGGTGTGAAAGAAACTGGGTACGATGTTGGAAGAAGTGCTTGCGAGTTACTGTTAAGGGTGTTGCCACTGTTGTATAGGTGAACGAGAATACAGGGGTAGTCTAGAGGGAATTTGCTCGCAACAATGGTGTTTCGAATGATTACTTTTATTGAAAGGCCGTCGTGAAAGAGTGAGCAGTTTAGATGTATACACGGTGTAACTATAGGCTAGGGTTAGTACAAGATAGGTCAACAATAGATGAAATGTTACCGAAAGCAGTTGGGAAGTAGTATTTGGAAGTGCTATACATGAGTGGCTACCTATACACTGTGGTGTACCAGAATATGGATAGATTACGAAAATAACATCATGTTTCCCTTCGGCGCAGATAGTCTACCTTCTCCAATCAATTCTATACCGGCGATTGCTTGCCAGCTATGATCTCTCCCGGTTGCGAGGCGCTCCTTGATATCTTCTGAGCGCGATATATCATCCTGATAAAAACAACGCTGGTATCATCCGTGATATAGCACTTACCGAGCAGTCTGTTGCGGATGTTAAGACAAGGTACATATCGGATGAGCTTTTGTAGTAAAAGAGGGTCATCACTCAAGAAGCATACGCTGTCGTAGTAAGTTATCATTCAGTGAGAGTGTAGTCTATGAGTCATCAATGACTAGAGCTTTCAGTTCTCCATTGCCAACTATCAAACACACCATCTTCTTTACCCATAACCGCAGTAGTGTGCACGAGAATTGAAACATGATCTACGGTGAATATCTCGGTCCTCCACAAACGATTCCTTGCAAGCCTCTAAGCATCGAACTAATGTAAGGTACCACCGATCAAGCATCAACGGGCTTCGGGACAGCCCACCTTCGGCACGTAACCAGAAACAGCAAGAGACCGCATATGTGTGGGGAGAGACGCGGAGGGGAAGCTTCCGAGGAAGAAGCGGAAGAAAGTGGATCTGGTGCAGTGGCTGTGTTGAACAAGGTTAGGATTTTTTTTGACTCACCCACGACGACGGAAGGCTACTACTTACCCACCTATTCTAGAATAAAGTAGCGTATGCAGCTTGGCTCCGAATGACCGAATGACCACTGCCAAGTTATATATAGTCAGGTACCAGTATGAGTAAGATATCGGATGAGAACAAAGACTTGGAAATCCGCACTGCCGGTTTTCTTTTACTAATGGCCTGTTTTCCGTAACAACGACTAAGCCCTTACTCTCCACCAAAGAAATCTCACTACTCTACGTCATACCGAACGCCCGTTTTCTCATTTTACCCATTTACGTTACATGGGCATGCCACTAGCCGGAGGGGTAAAGAAAACAAGAGAGATTGAGGGTTTAACCCGTGGGCGGACTGGCGTCTCGCTTGTATAGCTTCTTTGACTGTAGACAGCACACCACAAACCTTGATTTGTTTCTTTGAGGCCCAATTTCTGGATTTCTCTTTTTACATTACCAGAGTCTTCACTTTTATGCCTTTTCTCGAGTTTGTTCTGGGGTTTTTGACTTTAGGGATACGATGATTTGTTCGCGGAGGTAGACGAGATGAAAGTGTCTACTATGACTGCTGGACCAACCAAGTACGCGCACAAGATATTGTGAGATTTATTCTTGGGGTATGCGTGGTCCATTTGGGAGAGACGCAGCGTGTATGTTTGGACTTGGTATGAAGGGGAGTATTGAGATTGAGGAAGAGGCAGGTGGATATGCGCGCATATGCTCACACGATAGGTTACTTTCACTTGGACGTATTCTATTCTGCTATCAGATACAGAAGCATTGTGTATCCTCACCACCTTTTCGGTTCTGCTTTCCTCCTTTCGATGGTTCTTCCAGGCCTTTCTTGTCCGACATATCATGACTGCGAAACCGGAGTTCAAGGACTTTTTTCCGGTACTATGATATTTCACTCACCGGACATTGGATTGATTACCTTTAGGCGATTCACAAGCTACATTGAATTTCGCCTAACTAACGGAGCCGATGATACGCAGCATTGCTCATGGTAAATAACGCAGTTATGCAGCAAAGTCCATGCCGATGGATCTCGCTACGACGGGACACATTCCTCACCAGCCAAAGCGAAAGCGCCCCAGTATTCTAGATTCAAGCAATTCGAAAGCCGATCAATACTAGGAAAGCATAAACACTATCGGATCTCGCTCACCGCCGTCGGAACAAGAAAGCGCTCACGCGGGCTCGGTGGCTCTCTGCAAAACTTTCGGTTGGTCTAAAATTCCCGCAAACGCCTTATGGGTAAAATCCACAAAAAAAAAGAAGCACATGACGACAGACCAACACGAACGAAAAATGAGGCATTTAGCCACATCCGGCAAACATATCTTTTCAGAAAAACTAGATTTATTTGTTGGGTAGCGAACCGGAAGCCAACGCAATTAACCATCACGCTTACCTACCACACCCCCCATCGGCATTGAATCAATAGTAATCGGGGCAAAGTCCTACCAACACCGAAAATACTGCGGCGCGGAAATAAAGAAAGAAGGATGTTAGCAACCGCCCTCCGCCTCTCTAAAACCCGATGCTCCGACCCGAAATCCGAAACTATATGTGGATTAAAACCCGCGGGCTACGAAATCTAGAATGGCTAAATTTCTGAGTGGTGGCTTTGCCGAGTCTTCCGTTCGCATCCGAGCAATATGCGAAAGACCGACGAGAAGAAAAGGATGTTTGCGATCATCCTGGTCCCTTTTTGAGCAACAAACGGCTAATTTGCGAAGGATGACCGGCATTTCCACGTGGTTTCAACTCGGCAAATGGAAATGGCCGGTCGATTTTTGATTCTAGAAGCCTGGTGAGAAAGGGAATGACATGGCGTGATTTCCTTATAGCCGCCTTTGCCTTTTGCCGTTTCGTTGCGAGGGTAATATGGTGATCGTGTAGGATCCACAATGAGGTATGTAAGATGGTCGATGTACCTGATGATCCGCATATGGCTTTTGTGGTTGGTGGGCCCTGCATAATTGGTGAATTATTATGTCCAGGGTTGTTCAGCCTTGTGGAGGAATGGGCGGGTTTATGCTTACTGCGTGACGAACCGTGGTGGATTATTTGTGCCTTGGACGTATGTGGTATTTCATCCGCTGACGACATGGCATGTTTGTTCTTTTGATATGACTGACTATTCGACTTGTGCTCGATGGAAATGAAGAAGTTCTCGACACCGAGATTGATGATGATGCAGGCATGTGTTCGTCTCGCTGTTGATCATTCGAGGCAAGCTTGAATGGGCTGGTGGATCCATAGGCCATGTACCGCTGTTCTGGCATCATGTGCACTGTGTATTCGTTACACTCGTTACTCAATATTGATACGCCAATTGGTTCTTCAATGGGATACAGGGCTCTCCCACAAAGACATTACTACACTTGATGTTGAGCCAGATTACACCAATCATGTTATCACAAATACTGGAACACATGCATTCATCTCTTAATTCTTTGATTGGCTACCAATACCTAATGCTAAGCCGATGTTGCTGACCATTTTATCTTGGCATCTCTTGTAACGTCTGCACCTCCTTCAACCATGCCCTTGCATATTCGGTATTTGTTTTTTTCCAACTCTAAAACCTCTACCATCCATCAAACCTTGGTAACTATGATACCAACGTACAGAGACGAATACACTACTGTTTCGCCACCACAACGGCTTGGCCCTGGTACAGTACCTGATTGGCACAAAGCTAGTGTGTATACTACCAGCCTTGTTCCATGGCTCAGATTACGCGGTTTGACAGCAAGATCAGTTTCACCTTCCTTTGCCAAGCAAGACTACAGTTCCATGTGACCTACGAGTAGACGTAAAACTCTTGCTTTTCATGCCACAGCGTTCCCTGCCTGCAAACGTAATCGTTGCAAGACAAAAGGTTTACG